CCATCAGATAAATAAAAGGGGGAAGGCAGCAGGACCTAACAATATACCAGAGGAAGCATCGAGGTCAGACATAGAAGTAACTGCAATCATGCTCGACATTGTATTCAGAAAGATTAAGGAGGAAGAATAAGTGTCGACAGGCCGGATACAATCAACAACAATCTACTGTGAAAGAGGAAAAACCAACTTCCAGCTGAGTAGGAGATTAGGAAAAGACGTTAAAAGTGGATAGGACATACGTTATGGAGATCATCAAACTGCATCATGAGGCAAGTCGTAACACGGAATCCTGAAGGTAAACAGTAAAGAGCAAGGCCGTAGAACGCACTTCACTGAAAATTGGAAGTAGACATGAAATGGAATACGCGGCAAGCCACGAAATCAGTTAAGGCACTAAAATTCAAACCTTATGAAGAGTGTCTGTGATTACTAGACCCTTAGCCATTAGAATATAGGCGTCTCAGAGGTGACATTTTAACGACTGATAACATCTTAAACACTCCTGCGTATCCTATTAATTATCTACTTAAGCTCAGGGCTAACATCATGACATCATGGCACAATTGACTGTGAGCACTCCTTTCACCCTTTACAAGTAGTCGAATTCTGGAATTTGCTGCCGACTGAAGTAGTTTGAGCGACCTCGCAGGAGTTCTTTAAGAGGAAACTTGACATATTCTTAAGGTCTCAGGACTGTAACTCACTATAATTTACTAATATGTTCCTTCTTATCGTAGAATGTACCTAGGCACCAGCCACGAGGCATCGGTGATCCACTACTACTAGATACGAAAGATCACTAAACGAAAGCTTCTCCACTTCCGTCTAGAACCATTTGAATAATTTGGAATACCCTCGTGGAGATATCCACGACAACCATCCCTATCTCCACACCCTCCCCGTACAATAGGTATTGTGGTGGACCAGACAAATATGAACGCGAAAAGTATCAACAAAGTTACTAAAGATCAATAGTAATATTAATATATACCAGTTAATTGTTACAAATACAATAAAAATTTGGGACTTTACTTAAATTCACCAAATGTTGCGTGTTCTGATTGGGTCCGGTATTGTAAATCCCCAATCATAAATGCTTGGTAATTCTGATCGGGTTGGCGAACTCTCCAGTGATATAATCCAACGTAGGATGTGATATACTCCAATAACAGTCTATAAATGTAGATAGTATTTGATTTAGACGTGTTAAAAAGTAGGCTTGCTACTCGGCTTTTCTTCCTCGTCTGCTCTAGTGGTGGTTGCTGGGAGGGGTTGGTTAAGTGCAGTAGTATCTTCTTTGTCTTGAAGGAATTCGTAAAAAGCTGGTTTTATTCTGTCTATGGAGATTGTCTCCTTGTTCCCATTTTTGTTGATAACGAAGTATTTGCTTGTTCGTTTGATTACTTGTTATGGTCCTTCGTACGGTTGCTTCAATGGGTTTTTTAACTGCATCAACACGGACGAAAACAAACTTGCATGTTTCTAGGTTTTTGTCAAGTTGCACTCGCTTGTTATGTTCCCGAGGCGGTGTGGCTTTGATTCTATCCATGGTTTGTAGTAATTGGCTGGCGAAACGGCTTGGGTCTGTTGCTGTTGCTGGATTTGAGTCTACGAGTTGTCCTGGTAATGTGTGAGTTGTACCATAGACTAACTCAGCAGCTGTACACCCTATGTTCTCTTTGATTGTTGAACGGATACCTAGGAGTACAAAAAATAATGCATCGCTCCATTTTGATATGTCGTTTTGTGCTATCAGCAAGCTTTTTAGTTAGCATTGAAATCTCTCGACCAAGCCATTAGCTGCTGGGTGGTAAGCTGTGGTTTTAGTGTGGTTGACCCCTAGAAGTTTAGTTAACTCCTGAAGAAGGACAGAGTGAAATTGGGGACCACGATCTGTTGTGATTAATGATGGCACTCCATAGTTAGATATCCAGCGGTCGAGGAAGACTGAAGCGACTATTTCTGCCGAAGTGTCTTTTATGGGGCAGGCTATGGCCCATCAAGTAAACCTGTCTAGTGCAGTAAGGATGTGCGTGAAAGAGTTTGATGGTGGCAGGGGCCCCACTAAATCCAAATGCACGTGCTGGAAGCGTTTGTCAGGGATAGGGAACTTCCCAATTGGACTGGAGGTGTGTTTCTGCTTTTTAATGCGTTGGCACTGGAGACAGCTACGTGCCCAACGTTTAACATCCGAGTTGATTTTTGGTCACACGAAACGTTCGGTAGTGACCTTTGTTGTTGCTCTGATGCCTCGGTGTGAAAGACCGTGCAAGTGCTGGAATATTTTTCGTCGACAAGCGTGTGGGACGAACAGACGATTGTTGCCTGTCGAGGTGTCACAGATGATAAATGAGTCTGAAAAAGGAATCGGTACGTATTTAAGTATCAAGTTAGGTTTCACTTGGCAGCTTTTTATTTCTGAGTCGTCTACTTGCAATTTTGCGACTGTTTCCAAATCGATATCCTGCTTACGTATCAGGGTATTCACATACATTCGTGATAATGTGTCAGCTACTACATTAGTGTGTCCTTTGACGTATTGGATATCTGTTGTAAACTGGGAGATGTAATCTAATTGTCGTGCTTCGCGTGGTGAATGTCGATCGTATGAAGTATTGAACGAGTAACACAAAGGCTTGTGGTCAGTCATTATAGTGAAGGTTCTCCCTTGTAATAAGAAGGTGAAGTGTTTAACAGCTAAATACATGGCTCGTAACTCTCGGCCGAAAGTTCTATAGCGTTCGTGAGCTGATGACAGTCTTTGGAGGAAAACGCTATAGGAGTAGTCACGTTGTTTACTTGTTGTCGCAATACTGCCCCGACGGCTTTTTGAGATGCATCCGTGCACAGAATCAAGTGGTTTGAGGAGACAGTATTTAGATGTTGTAGCAATGTAGCATTGAATATCATTGATTTCGCTTTACCGAAGGCCTCTCTTGCTTCGGAGGTTAAAATGAAGGTATTCCCCTTTTTCGCCTGAGCTGTAGCTTTATTCGTTTTCAGTAGGTTTTTCAAAGGTCGTAAGGTGGTCGCGCAGTTGGGGAGAAAACGTCGGTAGAAGTTGCACATCCCCAGGAACCGACATAATGCCTTTATCGACTTAGGCTCAGGAAAGTTTACTATGGCTTCGACTTTTTCTGAAAGTGGTTTAATACCTTGCGAGTCTACGTAGTGTCCTAGAAACTCTAAAGCCGGAACTGCGAATATGCATTTCGACGGATTAATGACAACACCATGTTTTTTTAAAGCGATCGAAGAGGATCTGTACTTGTTGGACGTGTTCTTCTAATGATGCACTTGCAATTAAAACATCGTCTATGTAAACAAACACGAAATCTAGACCTCTTGTAACGTTATTCATGAAGCGTTTAAATGTTTGAGCAGCATTTTTCAGTCCAAATGGTATCCTTAGAAACTCAAACAAACCAAAAGGTGTGATTATGGCCGTTTTTCAACGTCTTCCGGTGCCATTGGAATTTGGTGGTATGCTCGTACTAGGTCAAGTTTCGAAAAGATGCATTTGCCGTGTAGATTTAACGAAAAATGGTATAGATGCGGAATGGGATACTTATCAGGAATAGTTTGGTTGTTTAGTCGGCGATAGTCACCGCATGGACGCCAGTCTTGATCCTTCTTTGGCATCATACGGAGTGGCGAGGCCCAAGGACTGTTAGATGGTCTGATGATACCAAGTTGCATCATATGTTCAAATTCTCTTTTAGCCGCTTGCGACTTGCTTGGGGGAAGTCTCCTCGCCCTGGTGCAAATCGGGGACAATTGGTAGTGATGTGGTGCTGCACCTGTTGTGGGTTGCTTTCCTTGTAATAATCGGATTTCATGATGCATTCATATTCTGTTAAGATGTTGAAGATGTTGTTCACGGGCTTCGTTATTCGTACTCCATGAATTTCGTAATCGTTGTAAGTTGTGCCATCTACCTGTAGACGTGTGTTTGTATCAATTTATTTATTATTATTCACATCTACTAGCAAGTTGTACGCGCTCAGGAAATCGGCTCCGATGACGGGTTGTTTGACGTGAGCTACTATGAAAACCCATGTAAATCGTTTGCGGAGTTCGAGGTCTAATATCAGTGATTGCTCTCCGTATGTTTTGATAATTGAATCGTTAGCCGCTACTAAGGACAATTTAATGCTTGTCGTTCGTTGTCTGCGTGAGAGGTGGAGTGAGATGATGCTGATTTCTGCTCCAGTGTCGACTAAAAAGTCTGAGCCAGAAATGCGATCCCTGACGTGAAAGAGACGGCTAACATGTTGGCCAGTAACAGCCGCCGCCATTACTGTCTGGCCACTTCGTTTCCCTGTTAGTTTGGACTGCTTGTTTTAAAGTTTCACGGTTTAGTGCAACGACATGCCTTCTCCCCGAAAGTCGCATGATACCAGCGAGTGTTTGCTGCCCGTTTGGGTGACCTAGGGCGAAGTCTGGACATTGATCGCTTTCTCGAGATCGATCTGGCAGGACGAGAGTGGATCGTGGCAATGGTCGCCTGAAACGATGCTACTCGCTGAGTTAAGTGTGCTATTTGCTGCTGAATGTCCAGAGAGGGGTTCATAGAGGTTGGCAAAATAAATACGAATAATAATAAAAACTATTTACAAAATAAGCTTGTCAGTCATATCTCCACAGTATGAGCTCTAGGAGTGACCACTTTCAAGAAGAAGATTAATATTCAATGAGAAACAAGTCAAAAGGACTAACACAGGTTAAACTATCTATTATCCTTCTTGCTGAAGACCGGAGACTGAAGTTCTGTTAGCACTGCGAATGACTGTCTCCGGTGTCACTCTTTGACGACCTATATTCATGACTTGATTATTTTGCCCTTCAGTCCCCGGAAGAAATATGACAGGAGTAACACATTTTCATAGCAGAAAACACTTCGATTACTCAGACACAGATCACAAGGAAACATTTTACTCTGCCAGGCAAAGTTTGAAGGTTGAAAAGGCTCAACTTTTTAAGTTAGATATTTACCTGCTGCTTCGACCTTCAGCGCACTTGACGTTGGTTGCAAGGCTTTTTCTCTTGTATTTTCAGTTTAGATTTGGTTGACATGAATGAGGGTTTCCTCACATTGGGTGTAATCCTCGCATCTAGGAACTGTCTGTATTTTCCAGGATGCTACACACTAATCAACCCAGTCATCTGTTTTGCAAGACTGTAGGCACAGTCTATAGATTGTGTTCAACATAAAAATGCTGAACGAAAAACATGTTTGTGTCCAAAATCTAACCCTACTTTTCAAAGATTACTAGATCACATATTTTTAAAGTTTTCAGTATTTCACGCTGAACCTTTTATCCTACTCTTTTTGTGTTTATTGTCACTCCAAGTTAGCAAAAACATAGATCTGTGCAACATTTAGCCCCACTTCTAAATTTATCCAGCTCCGGCCCACGGTTTTTCTGAGTGAGATTTGTGCTTTGTGTCCACCTGCAGCTTTACAAACCTAAACTAATTTCATGACATGCCAGTCACTGCTAGTAATGGTATTATACATTGGTATATGTCATTTTAACAACTAAACTTGCCACTTTTTGATTAATGGAGTGATCACGAGTTGATTATGTACAAAGTAGGACCTAGGACATACGTGCATTTATCTGAGTTACTATACCTATCAGGAATAAAAGTCAATGATAAAAAACCGCGCTAGATCTATTAGTGTCCTTCTTAGGGTTTTTGGCTCGGATTTTATAACCATCATCCGAAAGCACTTGACTTTAACACTATGAATAGGCCTTCTCTATTGTAACTTCATGTACCATTATAATTGATCCTTTCTGTAGAAATAGTGATAAAGTAACACAATTCCTGTATCTTCTATTAAAGTCAATACTGGTAATCACTCGAGCTGATTAAACCACGACAAACGACGTTTACTGTAGATGTGCGGCGGTTAGGACTGGTTCTTCATCTGACTTTCTACCCAGTCCCTCATCAGATCCACTAGTCACGTCGTGCGTCAAATGTATCATTCCGGTACTGTATCTAATTGATATGTTACGTGTAGTTAGTGACTTGTGTTGACCCTTTCGGCAATTACTTCTATGAAGAGTCCGATTATGGTTGCTGGATCAGTTGCCCTAGTAGTTAAGCGCCTGGTATAAACATCAAATTTGCAACCAGAGTTTATCTATTCATGGTTTAGAACACATTGTAATTGGGCGGAAATTATTTATCCTAGAGAAAAGAAAAGTGGATCTCAGTAGGTAGTGTTATATGTAATACGAAATGTTGACACGATCTTTATGTTTTGAAGAGAATAACCAACAAGTCCATCGTCCACTCATTAACTCACTACATGCTGTTTGATATGTTTAAGTGCATGATTATCTCTGGCGAACAATTTGTGATTCTTAATGAGGGGTAAATTCCAAACATCCCTCATCAAACCGTTGAGATGTATGTTTCTTAAGTGAGATATTCTACACAATGAATATGTGGTTATACAATATGAGTGATATAGCACAGCATTAATGGTAGTGTATCCCCTATTTCTCTCCCTTTGAGTACTAAATGTCTTGTCACTTTAGTTTCTCTCTTTATTGATATTTTTCTGGGATATCTTGTTTGCTTCTCTATTCTGCAGTCGTAGAGTATGTGGCAACTTCTTGACTCTTTTTTACGCTATGTAGGTTGTATTTATGTACAAAAATCCGTAACGTCTGGTAGTACTTGGTTAAAAGGTGGAGAGAGAAAACAATCGTGAAACTCGTCTACTTCTTCTATGTGCTATTCAACGACATGCGTCTTCAAATGATCGCCTGATTTACAGTAGTGTAAAGGAAAATCGCTGGTCAAATCCCGTAGTTTCCTAAATCTTGCTAGACTTCTTTTAGTATTACGAAATCCAGGTTTTGTGTCTTATGTACTTCAAGCTTAAGTGAAGTTAGTTACTCCATAACTTGATGAACATAAGTGTCGTTTCGTTTTGATTCCTTTTGTTACTAGTTGTTAGGTTGCTCCCTGTAACCTTAATGTACTTAATCTAATTTGACTGAATAATAGTAATTAGTCCACTTGTAGGAGTTAGGACTTACGGCGTAAGACGCGAATTCCCGCTTGGCTAACCAGTTTCTAGTTGCTTTTTCCAGCTTTGTCGCATGCCTTTAAAGTAACTTCTGTCATTCTTTTTCCAGGTTCTTATTATATAGACATTTTCTTGTTAATAAATCGTACTGCATATCAATTAAAATCTTTCCAAAATCTTGGCTTTGATGGCGGCACCCGTGTTAACTAAGGAGGCTGCTGAAAAGACCGCGCGATCTATCTTCGTAGGTAACATACCGTATGAAGCGACTGAGGAAAAGCTTATCGAACTATTTAGCAAGGTAATAATTCTCATCCTACTTCATTATTTCATAGGCTGGTCCTGTAATCGGTTTTCGTTTGGTATATGATAGAGAATCTGGGAAACCCAAAGGCTATGGATTTTGTGAATACAATAACCCAGCCATTGCTGCGAGTGCTTTGCGGAATCTTCAAAATATTGAATTCAATGGTCGTCCGCTCCGTATCGGACCAGCTGCTGGAGAACAAAATTCTGCTGAACTGGCCCTAAGTAACCCATCAGTTGGTCCACCACTTGAAAGCCCATATGGAGATAATATTGACCCGCAAGCTGCACCAGAAGCTATTAGTCGAGCAGTTGCTAGCTTACCACCTGAACAAATGTATGAACTAATGAAGCAGATGAAACTTTGTATACAAAACAATCCTAATGAAGCACGCAATATGTTACTCCAAAATCCTCAACTAGCATATGCTTTACTACAGGTAACGTTTGTTGTTTCACTCTTATCTATTTGTCCATACAGGACTTCAAAACCATCGAATAAGTAGAGTAGTTGTTTCACTGATTTTTCTGTAACAACTGTTAATTGTACATAAGCTATGCAATCTAGGCTATCAATCCTATTTTACAGAATGTCGGATTCTTGAGAATTTCTTACCTCTATTTTACCTGGGCGTTAATGACCAGTAAGTTTCGATCTTTATCATACATCTGACCATTTGTCCATTCCTGACGTCTAACATCTCTGGGCTTATTCCGTTCAATGGACTAGTTATGTCGAAATGTTTTGGTAATTAGAGTCAATGCAGAATGGATGAATCTTCGAGAATCAGACCAAGACAATATGCCTATATATAAATCCTGACAATTAAATTAAACACTGCGCGACTACAAACTGCTCTAGTTGAGTCTATAAGATATTGACAGTTGAAATGTGAAAACCACAAGCAATATGATTGAAAACCAATTAGATTGGAACTGGTATATCCATTTGGTCTAAACTATTGATTGTTGTCTTTTCACTTATTCTTTTAACTTGAATAGGTATTCCCTATGGATTTTTTGAACGTGTGAAAATTCGAACCAACGTACCATTACATCATATCCTATAAATTTATCAATTAAGATGTGGTTAGATCGCCCCACTAACTGTTAGCTAACTATTGTCCGTTTATCTCCTACAGATCTAACCAAAACTATAAAGTGGTGCGATAATCGAAAAGGAACTAACTGCATTTCTTCGAGCTAAAACAATTATAGTTAGCACTTGGGTTTTTTGATGTGTCGTTGATTCGTATCAGTAGTTAACATGTCATAAACTCATTCCCGGTGTTTGCACTTAGCTCCCATCAATAAACCCGGTAAACGGTATTATTCTCGCTATGTAACGCAGTCGATATATCACATCGTTATATTATGTAAAGTAACGGGACGCTAATTGAATCTCGAAAGTTGACGTTCTCTCTAAAGTCATTTGTTTTATGGAGTCCTCCAAAAAAAATAATAATGCAGAAAGTTGTAATTTACAATAATAATGTGAAATCACAGATAGTGAACCAGACTAAGTGCAGATTACTGAGTCCAATTTTGATTTCGACATAATCGGATTAAAATACGTTCTTTTACTTATTTCTTTCATTTTTTTCATAGGCTCAAATCGTTATGAAGATTGTCGATCCCAAAGTTGCCATCGCTATGTTAAATCGCAGTCATGATCAAATCCCCCCTGCTATGCCGGATGAAGACATGTCTATGAGAGCACCAGTTATGGCTTTTCCTGGTCATATCAATCAGACACCATCTTCTGTGGGTCCTAACACTCCAGGAAATCATATGATGCCCATGTCTTCACCTGGGTCTCACTTGCCCCCCTCCGGCTTTCCACATCACGGTGGACCTGGACCCGTCCCACATCCAAACCATTTCGGTGTTGAACAAGTTCCACAAAGAAGTCAAGCACCTCAAGGAAGTAAGTGTTTGTTGAAGTAAAGAGAGAGAAGTAAAGACTCAAAACGATTCCGCTCTTTAGATTCGGATCGTAACATCAGATTAGATGGGTCACTTATCAGTCATTTATAGGCAAGACCTGGGGCAGATGTACATTGGTTGAAGGCCCCACACTTTTTACCGGTGGAAGGAAAAAAGCAGTTAACAAAATAGAAAAAAGAAGTCACAGTGATAGTAATATTAATAATAGTTACAGAAACTAAATATCAAGAATATGGTTTTAGAACAACCAAATAAATAAAGGGATGTAAAGTATGAAATAATATTGAAGCTTAGTCTAGGAGAAAACAAAGGACGAGTACATCTTTATCATTGCGATTTATTAGAAATCTTCACTTAAGAACCTCAACCATTAGTTTTGATTGTCACTTGAAATCTGACCAGGAGATCTGTATCTCCGAACACGTCTCAAACTAACAGCTGGTGTTTTCATGGCTTAAACCATGTTGGTAAGTGCAGAATGCCTAATTGGGGTGTCCGCTCGATTATCGTGAGGAATAGTTGGGGACGTTGGGTGACATTAATCAAAGTCGGTCTCAGTGATGCAAAACCTTTTACTGTTTAAGTATCTCTAGATTTTGAGTTTTAGAACCATTTTTTACCTTTTATCCTGAGAATTCACCCTCTAATCACTTGTATGTCTAATCTCCTCTACTTCCGTTGATATTACTATGGTATTCACCTTAGCAATTCCACCTTTTCTGATGTGGTGTATCAGCTTGGACTGATCCACATATGTACAAGGTCCTACGTTACTTATATCTAACTACCTCAAGGGATAATGTCATATCTTTGTGTAACCGTCATCCGACATAAATCTTTGCTAACTTCGATTGTAAGAAATGTGACGAATGATTTTAATCCAAATGAAGATCATGCATATAATCCCGTCAAATTGCTAGGCACATCGATTCCATTCCGATGTTGCACTACTAGTCGTTCTTCAAATATACCTTGGCAATGGGGAATGCAGTAGTTGAGTACAGCGGGCAACTGATTACCCTAATGTTTGTGTTACTACTCTCTATCTAGTTGAAACAGGAAATTTTTTATTTGTCAACTAACCGTTGTCGTAAAAAGGTGGATTTTACGATAAGTAGTCACAGTGAACATTAGGATCTAAAAAGTTCACATCACAGGTAAACCACCAATCTGCTTTTCAAAATTTAACGTTGGAATTAGGTTTTTGATGGAGTTTTGTTCTCTGAGCTGGATAGTTTTGTCGTGGAGCTTTCGTCGTTCTTCTGGACGATATCGTCAGCACAAACTTCAAGTAGAAGTGAAGTGTTCGGATTTCTCCACATGTGGTTCACAGCTTGTCCTGTAGACCTGAAATTAGGTGCAAAATTGATGATAATTTTGATAGTCACTTAGACTTTTAACTAATATGCACTTACTGTTCTTAATAAAAATTAGTACAACTTATCTCCGTACAAGCCATCAATGTCTAACTGTTTGACTGTGGGTAAGTAAAACAGAAATAAGTGCAATTTATTGGACACATGTCTTTGTGTTATTGTAGGATTCATTTACTACGTAAAAGCTAATCAAAATCGCCAACCTAAAACAAGGCAATGAGCAGAAGGAGCCAATGTTTATTGTGAGAAATTGCAGTATTTATATCATACATATATATAGCCGTCCATCATCCATTCTCATCTCACCGTGTATTCTGCAATCCTAACTGTTTTCTCCTCTAGTCTTCAAGTGTTCGGTCTACTTCGTGCTTTGGTGTGCCGAGACTTCTCTGTCTGACGGTTTTTTAGCCCACATTCCTCCACACAGTAGTTACAAGTAATCTTGTGAGTAGCCTCCACCCCACTAGTGTAAACGTTTGTAGTCATTAGACTACCATTGTTGTTATCTTGAGGTGGTATTGAGATTATCTTTCGTGACGACTCAATCGTACCATATTCGCTGATTGATCGTTCTTTGAGGCCATAACATACCAATCAGGTTGGTTGAATAGTATCCAGATTGAAAGCGACAAATCCAAAGTCTTATGACTCATTCGTACTGTCAGTTGTATCAAGATGTGTCAACAAGGCGTTTTCCACGGGCACCCAGCATCTTTAGAAATGCTGCCTACAAATAACTGGATGGGTTAAAAGACATCGGCCTTAAAAATAACACTAACTCTCCCCTTCGATTTATGTTGGCAAGACTCGGAAGAGGTGGGGCTAATACAAACAAAAAGACTTTGAGATCGGTCTCAAGTCGTTGTCCCTTAGGCTCTAGGATCACGCTCTCATATCCTACCGGGAATCAATGTCGACCGCCCACATACGTCTAATAGTATACACAAGATTGTCGAAATCAATTAACAACCATAAAAATCTTCATCACAAAACGTTGTCAGCACTGCGTTAAACTGCTGATTTTATCTTGATATTCTATCATTATTGCTCTATGCAGTAAAATTTGACAAGATAATTTACCGAGGTGTATTTCAAAAGTAAGATTCGAAACCCAAAGCAGTCTATCAAACCGTGAGAAAATCTCAACATCAAGGCCATGTGGTACCAAGTTATTAATTTTTAAGATAAGATCATGCGATCGTTTAGCACAAAATAGGCTTGGATGGATGGAACGTTAAAATGTCACCAGATGTACTAAATGTGTGATAACTTTTGTGAATAGATTATTTGCTATAGTGCAGTAGTTTTTTCTTTGAGAACTTTTCTGTTACTAAGCCATGAACTAACTGGTTATTTGACGCTCTTTGCAAGTATGTATTTATATGGTGTTAATCTATGGATATCATTACATGTTTCCTATTTCTGGTCCATACATTTTTAGTGCAACAGAAGTTTTATCCAAATAATATGCCACCTAGTGGGTTTCCTCCTAATTCTGTTGCTCCACCATCCCAGCCGCCTTTTGATTATCCATCGGGTCAAACACAGTCATCAGCTGTGTCAGGACAACAACCACATTTCAATCCCAATGGACCTCCAAACATGGCCGTCCGACCTCAAAGACCACCCGCTGCTCAAGTAAGAATTCTTAACTAAATGTTACAGACCAGTACCGATAATGCACTATGTACGTAAACAATTGTAGAGAATTTCTAGTTCGTCCTCACTTAATTTCCAATACTGAATACCTCTCCGTATATGTTCAACCCAGAAGTAGGTTGGAAAAACTGTAAATCCTGGGATTCAGGATGCATAACACGTCAGAGTTTTTCAATGTACAAACCATCAAGTAGGTTAGGTGTTTCGGAGTAGACAGTAATCTTAGATAACTTTCCATCAAGTTCGTCATTTCTGCTTACGCTGACGTCAGCCAGAATGAAGTAAAAGATGAATTTTACAGAAAGCTTTCTGAACTTTTTGATAAAGCTAAACACTCAGACATAGTACTTGTAGCAGGTGACTCTAATGCCCAAGTAGGTAGTTTAAACCAAACATAAAGACATTTAGGTGGGTATTTCAGTATTCCAGTTCAACAAATAAATAATGGTGACTGTTTGCTGCAATCGTTTATTTCTAAGCGCCAATTTTAAGCATAAGGAGAGACATCTAACATGGCGGGGGCTGCACCAAACCAAAGATGTACCGAATAGACCATATTGCCATCAGTCGTCGTTCGAGAGGATCGTTAGAAGGCTGCCGCTCGTTTTGGAATATATATTTAGACTCTGATCATGCTCTAATAGGAGTACGCATCTACTTGCGCCTCACTGGACACAGAAAAGCCACATTAAAAAGACAAATTAGAGTTGAACTTAGCGACGAAAAAGCCAAAAGTAAATTCCAGGAACTAAAATGAAACTTCGGCGATTTTGAAAACGAGGTTGACCCAGATGTTGCTTGGAAAGTCATACGAACATCTATGGAAATAGCAGCGACATCTATCAGTGTTATGAACCAAAGGGTCACAAATAACCAGTGGATTTTTGCTAAGTCTATTGCACTGATATACCCTCGTGAACTTATCCCGTCAGGCTCCGAACACGATGACGAGCGGAAACAAATTAGATCTAAATCAACCAAAAGACTACGAAACGATCGTGAGCAGTGGTGGACAACAAAAGCGGGAGATTGAAAAGGCAGCGGCTTTAGGTAACACAAGACAGCTTTTGAGACTAATAAAAGAAACCGGGATTAAGAACTCAAGTGTGAGACAATATCAGTAAAAGACGACACTCTTATCTGCTCTCCGTTCAAACGTTTAGAATGATGGGCTCTACCCTTGAAGGAGCAGTTCAACTGCTCTATAACTACCCACCATTCCAAGACAGCCTGCGTTTCTCTCCCTCTAAATAAAAATTATTGCTTCAGGACTGACTTGCGTCAACACTTAAACTAAGGGTGGGAAGTCACGTAGTCGAACGCATCGACAACTTCACTTATCTTGGAAGTCTGATCAGCCCTAATGGGTTGGTGTCTGACGAAATCTCACTTTTGCCAAATTATGTGACCTATGATGGTGAGATATCCGTCTATCAATTCAAGGAAAGTGTACTGCGCAGCAGTCCGTTCTGTTTTACTTTAAGGCTGTAAAACATGGCCATTGAGAGTAGAGGATACTCGTAAGTTACTAGTATTTGATCACAGATTTCTTAGAAATATTGCTCGCATCTACTGGGATCACCGGTGAGGTTAGACAACAGGGTATTAGGGGACGATGGTCAATCAGCTGATGAGGTGAATCTTCATCAACTGAGATGTTCGAGCCTCGTATTACGCACAGCTAACCACCGATTACTACGTCGCGCAATGCTGACAAATGTTGGAAACGTGTTGCATCAGTCCATAAAGCCATTAATTTCTGGTCTTAATTATGTTGGCAGATGCATACTACTTGGTTGGGGTCTGCGCAACTATCGTAACCAGTAGTTGAAGACTCTGGGTGATATGGCTCGATCACAATGCCGTCGGTGTATACACTCTTTGTCTTCCCTTAAACCGTTAAATTGTAATTACTTTACGTCTTCCTTCCTACGAACCACCCCCCCCTGTATCGTATCTTTCTATGCAATATTTTATGATTCATATATTACTAGCATTGAAGTAACTGCTTCTATGAATTTGGTGTTCACCTTGTTGTGCTGATGAGGTATGGCAACTTGGACCGATGCATATACGTGCCTGGTCCTGCGTTGTACCTGACTGACCATAAGTCTGTTTGGTAGACACTGGCAAAAAGCAGCCTTCTAAACACTGAGTGATAACACAAATGTTTGTGATATTGTTCTTCCCCTTTAGATGCAAAAAGCTTGATTCAGGGCTGATCAGGAGTGATCAATAGCTCTCACTACAGCACTAATCTTGGGAGTCTCGTCACTCCTGGTAAGTTGGTGGCTACTGAAATCTTAAGACAGATACAAACTCTCTTGATTTTCACTAACTAATGGGTGAGTACTCTTTTCAGCAGCTTGACCTGTTCACGGAATGAACTGTGTTGATGATAGAAAAGTCATAACCGATATAGGAACTGGGACAGATGTGCGTCAGTCAAAGTTGCTGCACATCGTTTCAGGACAGTTAGAGGATAAATTAACAGCATAAGCAAAAGAAAACCAGTCTTAACTCCAATGTAAATCTAAACATGAGAAATGTCGTCCAGGATCAGAGTGAAAGTTGTGAATAACACAACTTAGGGGTGCAACCGTAATTGACTCAGCACTGTATCATCTGATTACTATTATGAGTAAGTAGGTGTACTTTGAAGAAGTTGTAATTCTTCACCGATCGAGGCGGTTAGGACACGCAATATATATACCTAGACACTCCCTACTTCGATGTCCGATAGTGGTCAGGATAGCAGGTTGGAGAAAAGCTAAGAGTAAGCAGGTCAAGACACGATACCAACTGACCAAGTCACTGGCTGTGAACTTCTTAGTTGGAGGCAGCGCAACAGTCGTACTGTGGTTAGATATGAATAGTATGGTCAAAATTCGATGTCAGCAACACAGATGCATTCTTCCATCTCCCTTTAAATTTTAAGTTAAGTATCATTCGTCACACTCATCTTTTGATAATGTCCTCTTTGAACTGCGTAAGTGATTTCCATCCTGTTAATTCCCTCTCTTACTGTGCTAATGTGAGATGTGGTAAACATATCCTACTTCGGTTGATTGCCCCTCAGTGTGATTTTCCGTTAAACAACTAATTAATGTATTTTATCTGTATATTTAAATTTATTGTAAGAATCACAAGTTTCTCCAGATAAACATGTACATATACACTTTTGAACTACGTATAAGTAAAGCTAAAAAAACTTTCCATCATGTATAATGACCTTTATAATATTAAACTACTTCACCTTTAAATAGTACCAATAAGATAGACTTCTCGTAAACACCTACTTTAAATAGTCTCTTGAGAATGCAATTATTAACTGATTTATATACAAATGCATAAAATCGCATGTTACATATTCTAGTTAATTCTACTTATTTTTTAAAATAATTTTAACAGATTACCCCTGCAATTGCTGCAGCGGCAGCTGCAAGTATGGGTCCCAATAGTTTACTAGCAGGACAAGGTGAACAAGAAAAAGTCACACTTATTATGCAAGTTCTTCAGCTATCAGACGAACAACTTGCTCTCTTACCAGAGGATCAACGACGCAGCATTATGATTTTAAAAGAACAACTTGGCAAAACAGGAGCAATTTAATCCCTTATAGTGTGTTATTTATTGATATTTACAGCATCCCAATAAATTTGTAATTTATTAAAAATAAAGCACTTGGAATTATGCAAGATAACTGTATTGATCAGGATCATCTGGATTTCGTTCAAGATAGCCAGTATCTATTAGACCTTCAATGCAACGCTTGATTAGTGGTATCGGTGGTTGGAAGCGGTTAGATGCTTGCTGTAAAATAGTTTCAATAAGCTGTGCATGCTTTATCTGTCTTCGAGCTTTTAAAATTCGCACAATAGCAGCTTGTATGAAGTAACGCCGATCCTCGTTCACTTGACGATCAACCTGATCAGCTTCCGACTGCAAAGTAAACAGCAAAACAAATTTAGATTTGCTTAGAAACAATGGCTTTAAGAGGCTCAGTGAACCTCACACTTTCTGATTTAATTAGTATTACAAACATATACTTAATTAAATGTATCTCATAACAAACTACGTAAAGGTTACCAAAACAATGCATTAGATTGATTTGTTACTTATCTCGAAACTGCAGAGAAGCAAAATAATAAAATGAGTTGAACGTCTGGTTGACGGAGATGAAAGGAAGGAAACTAAGTGCATCACTATTATCAGAACCAGTGTCTTAATTGACTAAAGTTAGTCATGTGAGCTGTTGGATGCCAGCTCAATGATCAAAAACTTAAGCTCTTGCCGCAAGACCTGAAGATTCTGGGTTCAACTCTCAGCGGGGTTCTGAATGGCCATTGCTTACTAGTCCCATGCTAGAACGAAACAAATTTCAAGTGGTTTCCTGGGTCTAGTTTGTGATGTAAACAGTATGGGAAGTGTTGATAAAATTAAGTTATCGTCTACTATTTTTCTAGCTCTTGTGTGTAAAGGGAATACTAGTCTTAGCATGTAATTGTTACGAATAGACTTCACAAATATGGCGCTGTCTATTAATGGATATATAAAATCCTAAAGTATTTGTAAGTATCCGCTTAGACATTCTAGTATTCCCACAAGTCAAACCACTAATCTGTTTCCTGTTACGGTTACATGATCAAAAGCTAATCTTCGTTTGGTTTACTCGTCATCATAAATATATTGTTCCAGGGATTTTGTAACAGAACTTAGTTTAATAAAAATACAATTTTCTTATCAATATGCAAGGAGTTTGGGCCACCCATCTTTTACTTCACCATTTTAATTGTAGTCAGGTTAATAATTATATAAATTTAGGTGGAAGCATATACATTTATAAAAGTAACTAACCTGGTTTGATTCTTTTCCTTGAGAGCCGAAATTCACCCTTAGCTTTAGACGTTTGCTTGTAAACGAACGGTTTAGGGCTATAACGCTATCCATCTACGCAAATATATACGTGGTTAGATGTATTATGCTATCAATAACTTACTGTCACGATGTTACCCGATGAATTACTACTTTGCCCTTCAGTTGCTTCAACATATATTATGTTCAATTCAATTAGTGGTGTCAAAAGTCGTTGAATAAGATCCAGTTCACATGAAGAATCCAACACATCTTGTGAGCAAGTTTCCATTTTACTGGTAATTGAAGAGTCAGTGGTTGGAACACTTCGTTTAGATGTAGAGTTATTTTCACTACTTATAGTTGGTCGACCTTCAGATACCGCTAGTTGTAACCCGAAATGCAGATCTTTCACTTTGATACGATCAGAGTCCATGTGATCAAAAAATAGTAGGATAGCAGCATTAATAGCAGGCGCTTGTATTTGATAAGTCTTATCAGTGAAAAGCACTTGGAGTTCCACTGTTGAATAACTATGTGCCCATCTCATTTTTCTTCCTTGATGAGCGGCTGTATAGAATTCTTCAAAATGGTAAGTACATGTATATAATTCGAGTGGGAGTAAAAAATCAGTAACACCACTAAGTGAAATTGGCCACGAACATTGCTGAAAAAGGAAATGAAATAAAGATCTACTAGGACTAATCTAGTATGGCAGAAGTTGAAGAATACTTTATTTGCTACATGTACTTACATGGCTCTAGACAATAGTCAAGCTGCTCAAATCAAAACTGATTGGACAAAATATAAATTTGGAATTATATCACATATACATAAGGTGGAAATATTGGTTCATTTCATACGAAAAATAAACTTGATCATTAGAATGCGCTAAAACATGTTTACGCTAAATGGAACATCACAGTCCAAGTGATTTAATAAGAAGTTTAGTCACTTTAAAAGTAACCGACTATAAATAGTGTTCAGTCAGTTGTATACAATCACAAATTTGCTTTAATTTCTTTGTATTCTGCTGTTGAATACATTGTTAGTTACGAAATACTACATGAGTGATTGATTTCCGACGATGGTGAAAATTTTAATTGAAAATATGATATTATTAATCGAGATTTTATAAGTGAAACATTTATGTACACTTCATATCCAAAAACTGTAATATGATCGGAATAGAATAAAATTATTGCAATCGCTAGTTACTGAACAAACTCATAACTTCTCGTCCCCACCCCCGGATTCACCTTATCAACACAGATAATTCTCTTTCCCCAATCATCAAGATAAATAATCACAAAAAAGTTTACTCAGTACTGTTTTCGATAATATGTTACAATGTGAATTGTGTTGCCACTTTGTACGTTACTCAACAAAACCTTGTTGGTCGAGGCTATTAAAAACGTGATATCAGGGAGTTGGATATAAATTTTCGTGGAAGATTTTGAATTTTCTAAGAGATAAAACATTTCTTAATTGAAACAACTTGTAAGGCATTGAAGTAAATAACATTCAATGAATAACATTTTTTTTACTAAGTAGTAAAATTACAAAGGTAGAGAGATAACTAGCTGGACGTGATCATATACGATGATTGTATGAACTGGTTCCATTATGCAACCAGTTTCATGTGCTATTACCCCGAATAATTGAACTAACTGTCAGAAGCAAGTAGGTTAGATATTGTAAAAATCAGATTTGCTATTGAATAGAACATAATTGGATGAGCACATATCTGAGCATACTAGTCTAGATAATTGTATCATCATGTGTTCTTTCCTGTCTAGTACTCTCTGAACAATATATTACACTCAACGCGACTGGTAGCAAGAATGACTTGGAAACAAAATGTATCCTAAAAAAGTTTCGGAATTAAAAACAATCGATTTTATATGGGAATCACATAAGGTATTAGCAACTTTTGGATTTGTTCCGGAGCGTTGCTTGCATATGGGCTAGTCAGTGTTCAGATTATTCTAAGCATAAAGGTTGGATTGTTAAGAATTTATTCTTTTAACAAGGCATTGATTGGTTCATGATTTCAATGGAACTTTTAACAAAGTTCGTACATATTAGATTTTACAACAACGGAAAATTTGTTCAGTTTATCGGTTCTTTGATTGTCTTCACTATTAACTCAATACTTCATATTTCCCGCTTTGTTAGCTCAAAACCCGCATATTTCTAAAACTTAATCAGTTAAGTTACTCTGACAAGATATCTTTTTTTAAAGAAAAAGATATTGTGTGGTATATTGTTTAAAATTAATCACAATTATTAACATAAAATTGAGTTTACTTACCGTTAAAACATGAAAATGATGACCAAAGGTAAAACGTATATCTTTTGATTGTAAGTACTCATTAAACTTCCGATTTAACTCAGGACTAAGTTGAACATCATTAAACATACGCTGAAATTTTGAAGTAAATTCATATCCACAAACAGTTTTTAGCTGATTAATCATAGATTCTTCAAGTTCAAGCATGGAAGAATAATTGAACACCAGTCTTTTGCACAGCATACGTTGATAATACTAAGAAAAATGTAATCATAATTATGAACATAAGTTATCAATATTATTGAAGATTAATTTTAATCTCTTTATTCACAGTATAAATTAGTAATTCAGCAATTCTAGAGAACACTACAATTTTGAGGATTATCAACAACTATGATAAATAAAAATTAAGTTTATCTAAAAAACGCATTACAGTCGACGTTACTACACTTAACAGCACAACACAAGATGAAGAAAGTGATATGGATAGTGATAATAACAACTAAACATGAGGAACATTTTACAATCTTCACAAATCCTCTATAATAACAGTAAACATGTGCTTACTAGTGATTAGCTTCAAGATTTAAATGCCGGAGTTCTAGTGTCAAGCCGTGACCAACAGAGTTCGAAACGTGTTGAGTGTGAGACAGTTATTCACCACGAACAATGGATGAAGGCTATATAATATCGCGAATAGGTTAAAGTTAGACATTGAAACCGTTGGATAGCGGTTCAGTGGGCTAGAGTTTAGACGTCTGTGCGCGAGATGAACATCGTGGGTTTGATTTCCGGATGCGGGGTCGTGGATGCACACTGCTAAGCAGTCCCATGTCAGGATGAAACAACCGTAAAGTGTTTCTAGGTTTTTAATCATGATCTAGATAAGACTAGTTAGTGATTTTAAACTGAGAATTCTAAAGTCTTCACGAGTCCCCTTATACTTATAATAAGAAATATAATTCATAACCAGAAGATTAAAATGGATATTAGAGATACGTAGTGATACTATCCTCAAGATTTAGAGAAAAACAAATGCGTACATTTACCTCAATACCATTAACTCAAAGTCATGATATGTGGGTCCTTAGTAGTAGATGACAATTGTTCTGTTCAACTTAACTAGGGAATTCGAAGTTCTAGAAATGACATACACTAATACTCAGTGACTTCATGTGGTAAAGCTATTCCCTGTTTTTGAATATTCCTATTCTTCCTCCAATCAACTCTTTAAAAGTTCGTTACTGGAACCTTTTATTACTGCCTTTCTGACCGCTTCCTAAAATACTCCTAGACGTCAACTTGAATAATGGAGAAAAGGCGTGAAATTTGAGTAGGAGGTTAGTTTGTGCGCAGAAAATCGAAGGTATTTATAAATTTGTATATGAAATCATGCTTTCAGAACCTCCTGCAAGCACACTAAATTTGGTAACAGAATAGGTAATTACCGAACCAAAAACATGACCCTTAATCTTTCAGAAGCTTCTATTTAATGCTGACTGGGTAAAAATTTTCTGGGCTACTTCTAGAAGTTTTGACGAAGGATATTTTTATGTGTATATCCGTGTTATGGGAATGTAACTCGGAACGCTCAAACAAATCTTGCCCTAGCTTAGTTCTTTTTGTTCGATTTTAGTAAGGATGTTTCATAGGATACCCTAGTTTTAGCGTACATATGTAAGATAAGATTGTAAGATGTGATATAAAATGAAACTAAGATCAAGAATAAATATTCATCACTAAGTACTACAAATTCACAGAAGGTATAAATTTGAGATAATGATATTGTACATTTTTATATGGATGATAATTACGGATGAGAAAGTCGACAGATAAAAAGTTTGAAACAAGTTTTGATCCGTTATTTCTGAGTTTTAATAGCCTGTGAGTAAAACCTACTTAAGTAGTTTAAAATATTAAGGAGAATAGACTACTCACCTTTTGGAAAAGATCTTTATCATCAATATACTTGAAAATAGCAATTGACGCTGTTAGCTTAGTTTCAATTTCTGAAACAGTCATAGTTTTGACAGATTTACGTAATAAGGAATCCATGTATCGACATAACAATTCAGATGGTCTGTAATTAGTTTGTCTGCAAATGTATCCAATAATTGATAAAAATTCTAAACCATTTGAAGCAAGTAGTAATTAAAATTTATAAGATTTATTCAATAGATAAATACTATATGACTGTCAGATATATTGTACCTTTTGAGAACACATTGATTCATGTAACCTTAATGAAAGAATCCAATATTTATGAACTACATACCAAGAAACAGTCAATCTACTTTTTAAGAAATATACATAATCTTTATCGACTACTTACTTTTAAAACGATTGGAATATATGGTATATTTTGTTTAGTCAGTATGATTTATGACATTTTCGATAGTTTTTTAGCTTTATCTAAAAATTATAATTATACTAACGTTTTTCTTATCATGATCCCTACTTCCATCCGACCTTGTTATTTGAAATATAATTACATTCCTGTTTAGCCGTGTTCTGATTTGGGGACTTGTCGAATGAAGTAGTGTCCAAGATAACTAAGCAATATGAGTAGCTGGGTCGTAATAAGAGAATTCATAACAGCAGATCAGAGCATTTAAGTTTGATGCCATTTTTGTGGACTAGTAAATAGTAGTAATTTTTACACTACACGTTATTAATGAATCTTTAAGACGCTAGATCAACTTTGTTAGGGATGAATTATTTAAAATATAATTTGTTAATGACCTATTGAAAATAACATTTTAAGAACTAACTTGAGAAGACATTATCTGTACTATGGAAAGTAAATAGTAGAAATCAAAACAAAGAAGACGATTTTCACAATTGTCGACCATTTATATTAACAAACACATTTTATTACGCTAGGCTTATGTATTTATGATTATTGTAAAACAAAATTGTGGATAATTTTAGTTTTTAAAATTGCATTGTCACCCAAAGAGTAATACAGTTTTACATTACATTAGTCATCAATCAATCTTAATCAGATCAGAATTGAATAGTTGAATAAAATTAATGGGAACTAGTTTGGTTTTTTAAATGACCAATCTGTAATTTTGTATTAAACATTCAATATTGAAATCACGCATTGACTGAAGTTAAGTAACCATTGAAAGTATGGGGGTATTGAACGACCGTTTCACCTTAATATGGGACTCTTTAGTAGTGAGCATTTACGACCCCACAACTTGCACTAGGATGAGATAGATGTCCAGTACTTTCCGCAGTCTTTAACGGTTTTCCAGTTTGGATCGGCTCGTGATTTAAATGTACATTCAACAACATCCACAATCTCATACTGACAATAATAAGTATGATTTACGTCCCAATATGAATAGCTGAGAAAGCAATACATAAAGCATTAGAACACTTTCCACTAAGATTCGATTTCAATTAGATGGAATGATCAAATACAGACCTGTCATTGAAACAGTTGGATGAATTCGGCAAAATTAACCTAAAGGTTTATTCACGTGTTTGTTTGTCGCATAATGAAGCTAATGTCAACAATGAGTTTGTGGTGGTCGGTATTCAATATAATCCTTAAACTTCGTACACATTTCGTTCTGATAACCGTTTATTGATAGCGTCCTATCGGTGTATTAATCAGAAGGCGAATACGAAGTGTTGATTACGTTTATTATTGCACAACGCACAGATAATCAAAATTACAGGTGCGTTAACCAAGCATGAAAGAGTAGTGCCGAAAAGCAAGCTGGCAACCAAGTGAGTGTGCGAGTCGGCGAGTCAGTGAACAGGACTAAAATGTACATATGTATACATAATGAAATGAATTAATCATCGAATCAATTAAGCGACTAACACTGATGCTAGCAGAATGAATATATGCGTTGGCAGTAAGCAATGCTAAAGCATACATATTAATACAAGCGCAACAATACTAAAGGTACAATGGTATAGATAAGTTGTTATTGTACGGATGGCTCTGTCCGTTAAATAAGTTAACAAAAGGGCTTAACCGAATTAAATATGAACAAACTCAATTGCACGTGAGCTGCTATAAGTTTAATATACCACTCACTTTTAAAAAAATGTCTAAATAACCTAAGATTTTGATAAAATAGATTTTTTGATTACATGGTATCGGTGATAAATTACATCTTTACCGATAGTGGTTTTTGGAAAAGGCACTTGAATTTTTGAAAAAAAAACCGTTGATAAGCTATTTCTATATGATCAAAAAAGCAAATAATAGAAAGATGTAATACAGTAGCGCATAAATACTCACTTAGATGTTGTGGCTAGAATACTTGAAGAAGGTACACGACTATTCACAGCCAAATTAAAGGCTTTATCCATTTGATTACGGAAACCAGTTTTCCCATCAAAAACATCATCAATATACTCCAAAAATCTACTTCGGAGATTTAAGAGACTCTCAGTAAAATGAACCTGTATTAGCTTTGTTTCGAAGTAAAATAGAAAAGTAACTGTCAATACCAAGTTTTAAAAAAACTGACAACATAAAACGAATTAAATTGGCAGTCAGTCGAAGGCCAGTGATGGGACGAAAACAAATGAGATTTTTTCAAGGGGGAAGTCTTACGGACAAACTTCATGAGAAGTGTTGCGTAGGCGAAAGTGGAGAGTACTGATTAGTGTTTTCGAACCGACTGACTTTTAGATAATCAGATAGGTATCTGAAGTAGCATGCATATTTTCCTACCCTTTATGTTTATTTAGTGATTGATTGATATACGTACTAGTCAGGTGAACGACGTGTTCTTAATGTGTGGTCGATTAGTCCCTAACTGGATACCTAGTGTAAAAACAGTCAATAGTATACACAATAAAACCGTTTATTGTTCGTCCTTTACAAACTAGCACCCCATTAGTGTTTAGGAGGAATCGAACTTTAGTTCGACTCAGTTCACTAACGTGTCCCTCATGACGGGCCTTTGCTCGTTTGATTCGAGCTGTACTTGACACAAAATGTTGGGGATTTGAACACTATTTTAGTGTAAGGGTTATAAAGGGATTAAAGTATTGTCAGTATGTGGAAAGTAATCAGCATAATTTTTGTGTAAGTAGTGAAAGGATCCCATAGACGTTCTACGTCAAGAGATCAATAAGGTGGCTTTTATAAGAATGGATAATGTACCAATCAATTTGAGATATAGAGAACTATTATCGAGCAAGTAATGGAATGGAACTCATCACTACATAACAAATTTTTCTATCATGGAGAAGTATTTAGCAGCATGAATAGGAAAAAACTTATAAAATTTCCGACAATATGGAGTACTTCAAAAGATAATTCATCTTTATACGTAGCTCCTACAAGGAACTGAATTGCGTGTATCAAAAGCTGCACATGGATGCACTTCAAGTGAAGATTGATGTCAGACAAGGCTCCTTAATCGTGCATTTTCCCTTTCTGCTAGCTATTGAATGGATTATGAAGACTAGTATATCTTAGAAAAAGCATCGAATACATTAAACACCGTGGAAGCTCTGAAAGAGGTAGAAGCCTTTATATACCTGAGAAGGTCCTGATGTGCATATGAAGGCACGAATGGGGGAAACAAAGACGACATTATTACAATCAAGTAAAATCTAGAATTCAAAAGGACTTTCACACAATACCAAAGTTAGAATCTTTAGCGCAAACATTAAAACAGTTCTATAAGACGGAACTAAACTACCACAACCATTACCAAAATGTACAGGTATTTATAAATAGATGTCTACACAAGATACTCCAGACCCACCAGTTAGAAAAAAATGGCAATGACCTACTATGGCAAACAACTACCAACTGAGTAAACTAGGAAAAGACTCTAGAAACGGATAGGGCGCACCCTGTGTCTAACCTCAGTATTACTTACCCGGTGATCCCAGCAGATGCCAGCAATATTTCTTAGGCATCTGTGGTCGAATACTAGTAGCTTAAGAGTGTCTTCTACTCTTAATGGTCATGTTTCGCTGCCGTAAATTAAAACATAATGGACTGCCGCACAGTATACTCGTCCTTTTATTGATAGACGGATATCTGGCCTTCGCCATAGGTGACGTAAGTTGGCAAAAGCCAAGCGAGCTTATCGAATCCGTGCTGAGATTTCGTCATACACCAACCCATTAGGGCTGATCAGACTTCCAAGATAAGTGAAGTTATCAACGCGTTCGACTGCTTCACTCCCTATCCTTAGTTCAGGTGTTGACGCAGACCAGTCCTGAAGCAACAACTTGCATTTAGAGGGAGAGAAGCGCATTCCAAACATTCTGGCATTGTTGCTTAGTGCTACCAAAAGACTCTGCATTTTATCAGCGTCTTCACCAAACAGGACTATATCATCTGCTTATTCTAAGTCGATAAGTGGACCTCCTGGATGGAGATCAATACCCGAGAATTCAGTAGACGAAAATGTTATTTCCATCAATAGGTCTATGATGAAGTTAAACAAAAATGGAGAAAGTGGACAGCCTCGACGGACACCACTTGAGGTTGCAAAAGCAGATGACAGTTCGCCATAAGCTCTGACTCGACTGGTGGTGTTCGAGTAAAGAGCCTCCACAAGGTTTATGTACTTCTGAGGTATGCCTTTCAATGACAGACACTGCCACAGAATCTCGCGGTCTACGGAGTCAAATGCTGCTTTTAAGTCAAGAAAGACCACCATTGTCGGACGCCGATAAGTATGCCTATGTTCTAGAACCTGACGAATGGTGAATATATGGTCGATGCAGCCACGACCAGGTCTGAAGCCAGCTTGATTCTCTCGTGTTTGCAGTTCACGAGTCTTAGATAAGCGTCTGATAATTATCGAGGCTAGTATTTTAGATACTATATTAGTTAAACTAACGACTGGAAAGAAAAGCCCAATACACACTTAATTGCAGACCTCTGGTCAGTGGCTGATGCCAATATTGTTTCAGGGCTGGTTTTTATCAAGGCTAGTTGTAGAGACTGAAGTAATTGAGTACGCTAACCCTGGTAAGTTGGTATCTGACGAAATCTCGGCACAAACCCAGAAAGCCCAGTTGGCGTTTGCTAACTTGAGCTAGTTGTTACGTAGACAGATTGTCTGCCTCCTAACCAAAGAGCATGTAGACTGGACAACTGTCCGTCCTGTTTATTTTAATTACTTATTTGAACACATAAATACTGGTACAAAGGGGCATCGAATACATATGCCCAACACAAGTCACTTGATTTGTGTGTAGGCTGTTATATTGTCCGGGTGCCCAGACTGAAGCAGGTAGCTCTCTTAGGGGGCCACACCCGGAACCTTCGACTTAAAGGTCTGATCCACAAGGCAGTGGAGAAACGTCAGTTGCAGTCCTATATTAGGCGGTGACCAACAATAGGTTCATACGCCAGATAAAAGCTACCTGGTTTAGGTAAGAGAGATAGTCGAAATCAGTGACCAGAGATGTTGGATTATATGGCTCAAAATCTTTCACAATGCTGCAGATGCATTTCTTCCTCATTTTCCTGTCGATCTTGAATCGCAGCATCCCTTCATACATACCTTTCCACCCTATCATTAAATTCAATATTTCAAAAGTTCAGTCGTTTTCATCATTATTATTACTGCACTATATTGATTTATTTTGTCATTTATCTCGATATGTTTATCTTATCGTGCTAATGAGGTAAGGCAACTTGGACCAACACATATCTGTGAAGGGCTATATGTTGATGTCTGTCTGTCAGCGCCAAGAGGGATAGCAGGCTTAAGTATACCCCTAGTTATAATAGTCGATGGAAATAAATTTTTTTTAACTTACTGAAGAGTCTTTTGGAAGGTTGGAAATAGCTTCTAAAATACTGGTTCGAACATATTCGCCAAAACAATGTAACAGTTCGTTACAAAGATTATTCGGAGATAGCAACCGAAAAAGATTTCTTAAATCTATGAATGTATTCGAAGAAGTAAATCGATCGAAAGGAAATAAATATGTATATAGAGCAATTTAAGACTAATTAAATATTACTTTAGCTTTTGAAGTTTATACAAATAATGAATGCAGTTTTCGCCCTAATATAATTATGAGAAAAACCCAAAGTAAAAATCTCGGTCAAACAATGCTGACCTCTTACAAAATTCTGACGAAGGAACGTTATAATACAAATAGTCTGCTTTGAAAGTAGTTTGTTAGAAATATGTGAAAAAAAGAAAACAATCGATTAAAGTATCAAGATGGTAGTAAAAATAAACTCTCCTGCTGCTCAATTGGTTTCAATGTACAACACTGTATTTGTTATACCATTCAAAGGTAGATCAATACCCTCCCAATGTCATCGCCAATCGGATCTCTGAATTTACATGTGCCTGAGGTAGCAAGTATATAGGAAGAACAGAGATAGGGGCTTCTACTATGTTTTCTGAACATGTCCCTACGAACTTATGCCTGAAGGACAGTAAGTCTTCATAAGTGCAACTGCCAAGCAACTATTAGATAACAGAAGTGGATAAAAGAAGTGGATTTGAAATAATTAACAGAAGCAACATCAATCTTACTTCACTTTGTAGAAGCAATCGCTATTGGATGTTTCCGACCTGACCTATGTTTACAGAAGGAAAATGTGATTAGCCTTTCTCTGGGATGATGACTATATGTTAATCAAATAACCTTGATTAATTTTTAAACCCTCTTTTCTTCGAGTTTTTACTCCATATGATTTTATTGATGTTTATATATTAGTTTGATTCTATTTCTTACCATTTTGAATGATCACGCAATTAATTATCGACTTTATTACCCTTACATAACTCCTTGATTATGATTACTGGTAACTACAACACCTAATGTGCATTACTACTTTCCATCATAAAAATACGAATCAATTAGTTTGCAGTAATGTTATCCTTTACAAACCACATATAGCAAACAACTTCGTACAAGAATATAAATTAATGGAGAATGATACATTTTAAAAAACCATATAGAATAAAAAGAAACCATCACGTGAGATGTTACTTAAGATGGAGATATATGTGAAAACTTGTTAAGGAGACAGTACACAAAAAATCGGATAAGTTGCATGTTAGTGTTTTAAGAACATTTATTAAAAAACTAATTAAAGTACCCTGTTTTACACAACCAAGTAGTATATCTAATCCTAATACATATGGTGGACCTCATGTCCTGGGATATAAAACTGTATGTTTATTGGATTGAAACAGTTATTAACTAACACAAATTTTCATGTAATAATTTAAATCGACGCCAGTGTGCGAGTACAACAACACAACCAAGTTAGGCTAAGCGAACCTTGGGAGACATAAAGTCCATAAGACTCGTAATAAGAGCAAAAAGAATGTGGTATTTACTTTTCAGCATAACTAAATACATACATAATTTATATACCAGATAGACTAATGCCACAAAAAAGTATACACGACATAAACCAACTTATTTGCTTGGTTTTATTAGTGAGATAATTGGGTATAACTATCGCACTTACTTGATTTATCCTCTTCAGCAATAACATAGCGAACGTTCATATTAAGGAAATTTAAACGCTGTTCAACAATTATTTCTTGAAACAAATTTTGCATTGGTAGCAGTGAACATTTATAATATTGTATAGCCCGATTATGTTCTTCTGTCCGCAAAGCTAGTGCCTACAAAAATGTTTACAAAATATAAAACTTACATATCTTGCTTATTATTGGTATTTTATCAAATATCATGATTCTAATGAGGAACAAATAACTGAATCCTCGAACAATTTTATACACAAAACAATAGAATCCGAGACATTAATTTTTTTGTCAAAACCAAACGAAACACTCAACCGCGATATAGACGCGAGATGGTGTAATTTTCATTATGTAAAAGAATAGATTACTGAGCCTCATATTGTCCGGCCAAAGCATGTAGCATAATAATTAAGATGTGGAATTTTCTCGAGGGATAATAAACTAGCTGAAGATGAATATGTCCTGTTGGGCTTATCATGTTATAGAAATTATGACCGACTATGTTACCATAAATACACATATACATGTGTCCCCAAAACTTTAGGCTTACAGGTTAAAGCATGACTTCCAACCAGTTCTGTGGATTGGACTTTCGTTTATGCAATTCGAATTGAGCACATATGTAGTATTTATGCCACACTAGAGATGTAATTCAAATCCTATGATTCGTTACTGATTGGTTTAACGAAGAATAAACTCTTTGAGGTAAATATACACTTACGTTTATTTATTTATCTGAACACAAATATTGATACAAAGGGGCATCGAATACATATGCCCAACACAAGTCACTTGATTTGTGTGTGGGCTGTGATACTGACCGGGTTCCCAAACTGAAGCAAGTGGTTTTCTTAGGGGGCCACATCCGGAGCCTTCGAACTAAAGATTAGATCCACAAGGCAGTGGAGTAACGTCAGGTGATGTAGTCCCATGGTAGTCGGTGACTAATAATGTTTGAGCTAAAGGTTTATCCAGTGATTAGTTATGATTTTAGTAATCAAAAGGTATGGAAACAAAATATGAAAAGCATATGACGTTAATTATTGTACGTCGTTATGTCGTGTTATTGTATGTGCGGAGAGAATATATATGTCAATATAAGACTGTACAGCAAGTAAACAAATAATTATTGACTTTGGCTGCAAAGGTTCTAAATGTAAAATACACGAACACGATAAATACTTTAAATTGTGACATACCTCAGTCACATACTGAGCACATCCTAATTCCGACTCCCGTTGACATGCCCATTGCGAGTAAAATGACCGCGTAGCGTCAATCAGAGGGTTCTGAAATATTTGGTTGTATATTTCCATTCCAGCCTTTTAAGTAATGGGAGAACAGAAGTATTAGCGCCACTAGTGCATTGGACCAAGATAATGGAGAAGTAGTCTAATAAAAATGGTAGTAAACATGGATTAATACGAATAGTAACAGAACAGACACAAAAGTAATCGATATGTGTGGTGCTAAGGTTTGTGTCAACACGAGGTTATTTATTATAGAGAGAGTATTCACTGATCAAAACACTTCGCAGTTCCTAGTTAACACATGCGAAAGAAAAAGGAGTGGCTACGAAAAATTTTAAACGTGTTCTTTAACATACAAAGTTAAGAAAAAAAAACAGGGTCACAATGCAAATCTTTTCTGTCGTATTTTGCTTACTCTTTCAAAATCCCTTACTTCTCCAACTCTTAAAAGGGAAGCCAAACATGGATGTATGCAATTCTGTTGTCCACAAATTCCCAATCTGTCGCTATTTGAAGTTTAGAAATAAAAAGATGGAACTCACTTGAGAACTTCGCGCATCAAGCAAGAGGACAATCGACTTTTCATACAATCGATTAGATATAGTCTCCAGAAAGCAAGGCCGACCTCCAGAATTTCCATAGTATGCTGATCTGCCATAGGAAGTGCCGCCCCATAGCACATATCGGCTTCTGATGGCCTTAAATTCTTTACGTGCTGCGTATTCATATATCTGAGTAAACATTAAACATTAAGGACTTTAAAAATATACCTATAAAGGATATCTAGATATGTAAGTCCGCGATGATATGACTCCCAAAACTTGACATATCTAGGAAGTAAATCAGAGTCACTCATGACCTCTAACTCTGATGCTATTTCTTCTACCCTCTCGCTAATGAGTGTTGTAGTAGATTTATACAAAGTAGATGCATGAGAAACCGGACTTGAAGTACATAAGCTATACACATAGCCGAAACTAGAATTCCACAAATCCCTGTCAACAAAATCGCACCGAAGAAGCTTATATACTACATCTTTTAGTGATCCCCACGTGGCAGGGAAGTCCACAGACACTGCACGTAACATATCTGAAAGACTTGGAGGATAAAACTAGGTAGCGCTAGACTTAATAGCAGAACGGAAAATCGCCGTAAACATCACGGACAAACTTTCCGCGTTCAAGCTTCATTCGTCAGTAATAAGATTTGTAGGTTGGTGGACCGATTTTGATACTTGCAGCCTGTTTTCCAGAGAATGTTCAGCTTCCCCTTGAAGTCGTCCGCTGATGAGGCTGATGCTACCCGTTAACGTAAGGCGTTAAGGACAATGACTACTTGATGAGAAAAACGGAACCCTACATTGAATTTATGAAATTGCAATTCTTGAGCCGTCTTCCTGTGGCCTCACAGACGATTAGTTCTCCAGGGAGAAAAAAGATGAGACATATAAATATTCAGATCGTTAGTAAACTTGCGGAATGACAACACAAGGTCCCCTTGCGTTTCATGATGCGATAAGAGGAAAAGTTTAAGACGTTTTGGGCGCTCATCGTTAGAAAATTTGGAAAGGCCTTCCATTAGTTTTGTTCTCACACCCTGAACACGCTCGAGTATGTTAGTTTTCTTAACAGAACGTGAACGTTTTGTTCGGTAACAGTACTCTAGGTGTGGTCTCACTTAGGTGGAATATAAAATCCGAAACAACGCATCAAAGCAATTGAATGTTCATCGAAGTGACCACAACACCAGAAAACCTTTGAGGAATGCTGGGTTGCAATACGCAATTGCTTTTAAAATAGTTTCAAGTAGTTCTGAACGGATTAGGAAAAGCTTTCGCTTAATGGGCTCTCGTATCTAGTAGCAGTAGATCGTCGATTCCTCCAGATAGGAACCTAGGTATACCTGATGATAAAAAAGAAAAAAATAAATTATGGAAAGGAACTGCCCCTATTCCTTAGGAATATGTCACGTTTCCTCTTAAAGGACTATCAGGAACTCGCTTGCACTACATCATCCGGCGGTGAATTCCAACATTTAACTACTCTTAAGGAGTAGAATGTCAACAGTACGTTCTGCCGTGTTGTGTCTCCAAGTTCTCGGTGTTTCTCCCAAGGTTTGCGTCGGGACTGAGCCTAAGTATGTGTTTAAGAGGATACCCAGGAGTGTTTAAGTTTTTATTGGTCGTTAAAATTTCATCACTGATGTCCCAAAGTCCAGTGATCAGAGCCGCTCATCATAAGGTTTGAATTTTAGTGCCCCAACTGATTTCGTGGCTCGCCGCCGAATACTTTGCAGTTTATTCCTATCCTTTTGGAGTGAGGGAAGAAACATTATATTTTCATACCCTAAATGGGATTGAGTAGAACTGTTGTTTAGTCCAGTCGGCTAAAAACGCACCTCAAAGTTACTACTTCAAGGTTTGCTCGAAAGGCATCTTTTTCTCAGATAGCGTAAGATTTCAGATTATAGGGTACCAACACTACTCATAAGTTACTGTTCCTTCTAAGTTTCATTTTCCTGCACCCATGGAAGCAAAGATGATCAGCTTCACTACTCATTGTTTTCCAGATCTTGATGTCATCTCCAAACAGCACGACTGACAACTTAGACAGTTCCGATTATTTGTTGATATGCAGAAGAACAAAGTAGGGGAAGCAATGTCGTGCCCTGTAGCACGTTAACCTAAAACTGGCACCTGTTCAGGTAATGTTCTATTCGCCGTCACTCCTGAAAAATTTGCGTACGGGCAGGATTTAAATCTTTGAATCTTTCCCTGAAGTATATGGCTATTACACTAGCAGATAAAGCGTTACCTTGGGCTGATGTTTGATCCTCTCTGGCACTCGGTAGGTTTGTTAAGTATGAGTGTTTATTTCGAAACCATTGTTTCTCAGGAGTGGCAGGTTGCATCATTCTGTGTGACGAAGTGAGGTAACGTGGTTTCTTTTTTAAAGTAACTAAACTCTCATGATGGTTAAACTGACAGATCAGTAGTTGGGCATAGTCTGCGTCCCTCCACATTTAAATATCGGGCTAACCATAACGTCCTTACAATCCTTACGGGGTTCAGTTAAAAGCATGAAGTTGTAGCGTGGTGTCGAGTTGAGATTAACTGTGAACACCGCTACCCAGAAATACGTGCCAGAAAAATCAGAAGGCGAGGATCGATCGTAACCAGATTTATTTCGTTGGCGATCTCGTGGTATTGAACGAATACCGAGATCGTGCCAAGGAATGGTACAAGTGGAAGCAGAAACAGGAGTACGTGCGAACAGTACCAAAAGCCGCGGAACAATTATTGAAGGTAATGGAAGCACAAACTGGCTATAATTAGCACAGTTAAACAAAAGCACATTAAAACAAACACTGGTACAGTTGGTTATAATAATAATTGTTTTTATTAAACCAGTCGTGTTCTCGTGATAAACGTGAGTCACTACAGAAGCCCCCCGCTAGAAAGGGTTAACACTTTCGATAAATGGCGGTTTAAATCGTGGGACTGATCGGCTGACGAGCGATTGTAGGACGGAAGAATTGGCGAACAGGAAAGCGATCGTTGATCGTCGAGTTGCCAACGAAGGTCGTTTTCGGAGAACGGTACCAGGAGCGATGTGCTGTATTTGCTGTTTGAGTTGGCATGCTACACCAGAGTGGTTTGTATCCAGAATCTGAAGAGGGCGTTCGTACGCGTCCGGACCAGAAACGCTGCAGACGTAGGACGAAACCACGTTGAGCCAAAAGACCAAAAGCGACCGTAACGACCAAGTTCGAGACCAAGCGTATGCCAAGCATTCGAAACCAATATATCGACTGAGTACGTTGACAAGAGCGTGGGTGATCAGGCCAGCTTTCGCCAAAGTTGACTGGAGTCGACGGAACCAAACGGAGATGGTCGAAGGCGTGGGCTCAGGAAACAAAAAGAAAATCAAAAAAGAAGAGTGTAGCATGCAAGTAGCATAGGAATATTCCTACACCGTATCGGTTGTCGACTGTGCGACTAGTCGAGGAAGCGTACGGGTAACCGTACTCGGCGACCGGAACGTGAGACGATAGTCTCGTTCGCGTCGCGTGAGCCTGCAATCTCATCCGAAGTCAAGGGAGGCGTGGTCTGCTGATCTGGATGTGAGACTGTCGTCTCGTCCGTAGACGGTGCAGATGACGCGTGCTGTTGACTGGGACGTGAGAGTGAGGTCTCAGTTGTATCTAGCGTGGGACCTGAAGATGGTTTGAGGATCCCGCTAGTAGGTTTACTTGGTCTAGCATTGAATCTCAGGTTATCAGATAGGGCACTGTCATCGACGTGTGCTGGTTTGAGACGGTCAATGCTGACGATCTCGACGCGGCCGTGTCGATCAACCTTGAGGGTCTTTTCGTGACGAGCGATCACGCGAAAAGGGCCTTCGTAAGGTTGTTGCCAAGGTTTGCGTACCAAATCTACTCGTATGAAAACATGTGAACAGGTAGATAACTCTCGAGGGAGAGCGACCTGTCGATGTTGTATTCGAGTTGACACCGGAGGCAGCGTTCGCATAAATGCAGACAGTCGTTGGACGTAGTCTGATTTAGCGAAATCATGTCTGCTCCGTGGTGTGAAGAATTCCCCGGGCAGACGCAATGTCGTGCCGTATACAAGTTCAGCGGCGGAACATTGGATATCTGCCTTTAAACTCGTTCTGATACCTAAAAGAACGAGCGGTAAGGTTTCGTACCAGTCGTCGTTTTCGTGTGCTCGAAGAGCACTTTTAAGTTGACGGTGAAACCTTTCAACTAAACCGTTTGAAGCTAGATGGTAGGCGGTAGTGCGTATTCGCTCCGTACCAAGCAGCCGAGTAAGTGAGGAGAATAGTGCGGACTCAAATTGTTGTCCTCGGTCAGTCGTGACGGTCGAGGGACAACCATATAGAGCTATCCATCGTTCTACGAAGCGGTGAGCAACTGTCTCCGCCGTGATAGACGTGATGGGTATAGCTTCGGGCCATCTGGTGAAGCGGTCGATGCACGTGAGTATGTGATCATACCCGTGCGACGGTGGCAGTGGTCCTACAATGTCTAAGTGAACGTGATCGAAGCGAGCATCAGGCGTAGCGAATGTACCGAGGGGGCGGCTACGTGCCTGTGCACTTTTGATCGTTGACATTGTAAGCATTGCTTAGCCCACATACGAACATCTTTATTCATGGACGGCCAGACGTATCGTGCAGCGATGAGGCGTAAAGTAGCTGCGATACCTGGGTGAGATAATCCATGCAGGGCATCGAATACGAGACGGCGATAAGCAGAGGGTACGATGGGTCGAGGAAGACCGGTAGACGTATCACATAGAATGGTGCCAGAAGTCGTGGCTAGAGGTACTTCCTGATACTGAAGGGACGTAGAGTGTGGTGCTTTTGTACAACTGGGATCGTTTGCTTGGGCAGCGGCCATAGCAGGAAGATCGAGCACCGGCAGGGTAACTGCATTCATTTGGATTCGTGATAGAGCATCGGCAACACAGTTCGACTTGCCTTGGATGTGACGAAGATCTGTCGTGAACTGAGAGATATAGTCCAAATGTCTGCACTCTCGTGGTGAGTAGCGGTCAGACTTGGTATGCAAAGCATACGTTAAGGGCTTATGGTCGGTGAATAAAATGAATTGACGTCCTTCTACTGCGTGCCGAAAATGTTTGATGGCGCAGTAGGCTGCTAGCAGCTCGCGACCAAAAGCGCTATATCTCATCTCCGTGGTAGTAAGGCGTCGTGAGAAGAACTCGAGAGGTTGCCAACTACCGGAGATGTTTTGTTGCATGACTGCTCCTATAGCGACATCGGATGCATCAACCGCTATACTAAGCGTGGCTGATGGATCGTGATGGGCGAGAAGAGTGGCTTGCGCAAGAGCCGTTTTGATTTCAGTGAATGCAGTACGTGCAGAATCGTTCATTTCCAATCTGCGTGGGTTGCCGCGTAGTAAGTCGGTTAGTGGTCGTAACCGTTCTGCCGCGTGTGGGATGAAACGACGGTAGAAGTTAACCAAACCGAGAAAAGCCTTCAGTTCCTTGAGTGAGGACGGCTCGTTGTACTCCTTTATTGCTTGCACTTTGTCCTCACAAGGTAAAATACCCTCTTGCTTGATAACATGACCCAGAAATATGATTTCTCGTTTACCTAACTCGCATTTGTCTGGGTTAACTACTATTCCATTATCCGAAAGGCGTTGGAATAATAGCGTAAGATGTTGATAATGTTCATCTACGTTTGATGATGCGATTAGCAGGTCATCAATATAGACGTGAACAAAATCGAGGTCTCGTACAATGCTATCGATAAACCTTTGAAAAGTTTGAGCAGCATTCCGTAATCCAAATGGCATTCGTAGGAACTCAAACAAACCGAAAGGAGGCGTGATAGCAGTCTTTTCGATGTCTTCAAGAGCGACTGGGATCTGATGATATGCTCGTACCAGATCGATCTTAGAAAAGATAGTCGTGCCCTTGAGCGATGCCGTGATGTCGTGTATGTGGGGGATGGGGTAGCTATCAAAGCGCGTAACTACGTTTAGAGCACGGTAGTCGCCGCATGGTCTCCAACTAACCCCATCTTTTTTGCGCACCATGTGTAGAGGAGAGGCCCATGGACTGTGAGAAGGACGAATAATACCAGTAGCTAGTAAATTGTCAAACTCACGCTTAGCAAAAGCTAATTTGTCCGGTGCCAGTCGGCGAGGTCGTGCCGTGACTGGCGGTCCGCGGGTGACTATGTGGTGTACCACACGATTGGTCACCGATGAAAGCTCCTCGAGTGGTTTAGTGAGTATGGGGAATTTCTCGAATAAAGCGTGGAATTTATCGTCACGCGAGTAAAAAGTGCCGAGGATTCGGTACGCGTTCATGTGGGCTTTGCAGCCCATGAATTTACTGTTCGACGAAGTATCGATTAGCTACAGCCCACGTGAATCGACAAGCAATTCATAGTGCTGTAGAAAATCGATACCTAGTATGGCTGTGGGGACATCAGCAATGATGAACGTCCACAGATACCGTCGTCGGTTGCCCAGGTTGACCGCGAGTTGTCGTGTACCGTAGGTAGGAATGACTGAGCCATTCGCAGCGCGTAGTCGAAGCACTGTGGCTTGTGACTTGCTGCTACCTCGTGGTACGACAGAAACCTGGGCCCCAGTGTCTACTAGGAACCTAGCGTTCGTGCGGTAATCGTGCACATAGAATAGGCGACCAACTTGGGGTGAAGGGCCGGCGAGTACGGCCGCTTTTACTCGCCGGCGCTGGCGTTTCCCGCCTTGTATGAGCATGGTGCTCGACAACGGCGGGCGCCAGACCCGAAGGACCTATGGAACCAGCACCAACTATCACTCGCCTCCGTAGCCGCCTTTCGGCGTGGCTTGGAAGATGCCCTTTTTGGGCGAGTGGTGACGCGTTTGCGAGAACTTGAGCGAGCTCGGGGGACGTAGGGTTGGGGTACGTTACGACGGTCTCGAAAACTAAGACGTGTGTGGATACACCCGTCCCTGTCGCCGTGAGCTGAGGAATGACCGGCGTCCAAGTCTACTTTAGGACGTGCCGTTGAAGCAACTACATAGGTATCTTTATTGCTAGTCCTCGCTAAAATTTTATCTGCTATGAGGGCTACCTGGTCAAGCGGTGAGTCCTCGAGCAGTGCCGTCACAGTGGGTTGGATATGTGCTGGTAGTGACTCTAGCCACAATTTCTTAACTATTTCTGAGTCACTTGCTGTTGGTCCTGCAAGAGATTGCAGGCGCGTGAGGTGGTGGCTTGGTTAAGCATCACCCAGGGGGTGACGTGCTAACAGTGTCCTCAATCGTTCCTCCCTCGATGGGAGGAAATGTCGGAGAATTGCCTCTTTGAGGCGATCATAAACATTAGGTACGTTAGAATTGAGGACAACCTCACGAACAGCTACTAAGTGGTCCCCGGGTAATGACTCGAGAGCGTAGGCGTATTTTTGCCTTTGGCTCGTGATGCGACGAGTCTCGAACTGAGACTCTAACGCAGCAAACCAGACCTCAGGGTCGTGGGGGATAAATGATACAGGTCGAAAATGAATGGCCTGTACGTCTGAGTCTATAGCATTAATAGTATTCTTCTCGCTATCCGTCATGTCGTGTATATTATATATTAAAAATTAATATGAAAATATACGACAGACGTGGATAGATAAATAATAGACTCACCAAATTGGCTTGTTTGGAAGATTTGACCCGAGGTTGAGGCGTGGTCCAAACTTTGGGATCACCAATTGTAGCGTGGCGTCTAGTTGAGATTAACTGTGAACGCCGCTACCCAGAAACACGTGCCAGACAAATCAGAAGGCGAGGATCGATCGTAACCAGATTTATTTCGTTGGCGATCTCGTGGTATTGAACGAATACCGAGATCGTGCCAAGGAATGGTACAAGTGGAAGCAGAAACAGGAGTACGTGCGAACAGTACCAAAAGCCGCGGAACAATTATTGAAGGTAATGGAAGCACAAACTGGCTATAATTAGCACAGTTAAACAAAGGCACATTAAAACAAACACTGGTACAGTTGGTTATAATAATAATTGTTTTTATTAAACCAGTCGTGTTCTCGTGATAAACGTGAGTCACTACAAAGTTATTGAATAGCATCGTCAGTGGTTCTGAAATAATTTCCGCAATCAATGTCAACAGTCATGAATACACCCATTGGGACCCGTAAACGTAACAGGTATGAGGTTATTCAGCAAATGAAGAACAGCTAATACAGGTGCGAAAACCGACGAGTCAGTCAATTAAAAGAGTAGGACACCAAATTGCTATCAAAATTACAGTAAAATGCTATGCATTTTCGTCTATGACGGAAGTGTTACAGCTGGAGGAATTTTGATTTTGTCTCACATAATTAACGAAAAGCTCTTTTCGTACATTCACGACTTACTTTTCGACGATTTCAAAGTTCGATAATCTTCTAGTTCATCTCGTTCCTTCCAGGGCTAGGCAACATCACATTAGAAGTGTAAGAGTTAAAACAAAAGCTTTTTAACAGCCTACGTACATAATTTAAGTAATTTGATTCATCCATTTTGACGGCACGAAGTTGAGGGTTAATAGATTTTGGAGGTAAAATAGATTGCGGCGTTACTTCACCATTCATATGACGAAGTTCAACTTATCAAAGCTCAAGAAAACACTTTCAAAAACCAAGAGAAAGCCTAGACATCACTCTGGAAAAATCGAGAAAGTATCTAAACATTCCAAAAATCCAAAGAAGAACACTTTCGATTGCTTGATAAACGCTTCAATGTAAGTTTTTTCTCTTACACTCTAAGTTAGAGGTTTCGATTTCTGAATGAAAAGTTGTATACCTGCACAAGTGAAGAAGCAGCTGCTATTTTCAAGGAGGATCCTGAATCATTCGAAATATACCATGAAGGTTATCAACGCCAACTTTCCCAGTGGCCTCAAGATCCTCTCATCTGGGTCAAGAGTAAAATTATCGAAGAATGTTCAGATTTAATGGCAAACTACAAAGTAGCTGATCTTGGTTGTGGTGATGGAAGATTAAGTCAGTTATTGCCCAGTAATTACGAAGTGTACTCTTTTGATCTTGTCTCCGTAAACGAACGTGTCATTGCTTGTGATATGGCTCATGTAAGTCGTATCGTTATGTACCATGTACTTTATCGATGTTTATGACGATTTCTCCGTTGCGTACCATGCTTGCGCCTTCTGTTAGATTTCTCTGACACTTCCATAATTAATTGTTCTGTTGTGATAACTTAGTTGATTTGTAATATGTATAACTTGTTCCCAAAGTTGTTTGCATATGCAACAACTCAGTTAAATAGTTACGTGACTTAAGGAACACTCCGTTGCGCAAATGATTTTATTCTGGTGAGATGTCTCCCAACCATCGAGACATTGTACTATTTAGGCATCAGTCCTATTTTAATTCGTGGCTGTGAAATAATCTAAAAAAGTTCATTGTTTCAATGTAACTCATCTACCAACAGCAAACTTACTTTACTGGCTTCGGAGAACACTATTTGTGTCAGAATCAATTACACTATTCGGCTTATAGACGGGAATAAATGGATTAGGGTTCGCAACCCACTGGTCGGAACTAAATGTCTTGATCACCAACAGACTACTCCATCAAACGAAGAGAATGTACGTAAGTTAGAAGGATATAATGATAGTTTCTTCGGAGGATCGATCGCATGTGATAAAAACACAGATTGAGTGATACTGAAGGTATCTGATGAAAAAGATCCAATCCAGTTCATGGGGCTATAAACTTCCACCATTCGAGACAGTTAGGTGTTAAGCTTGCTAGCCACCACCAACCCCAGTCAGCATTGTTGATGGGATAGGAGAGTGGTTCGAAGCAAACTAAAAGTGGGGGCTCAAAACACCTCATAGGGTCGGTATCTGAGACCACTAATTTTTGGTTTGAGCCGTGTTGTTTTATGTAAACTATTTCTCCAAGGTTCATAAGTTAATATCAGGTAACAAGTTGAGATCAATCACGATGTCCCGGATGCGCTCATCCTTAGGGTTCACCCATGTTTTGAGTTTAAACACTATTTCACACTTTTATTCTCCTAATTCCTTCTTCTTCATATTAAGTTTCTCTTACAGCCATTACCACTATTATTATTCCGAATGGCCTATTATACGTATTGTTAATTTTATCTCACTTTTCTTATGTGATGCTGTAACTTGAGCTGATACCTGTTTGTGCTTAGTTTTACATTATGTATGATAGATTTTAGCCAAAAAATACAATCAAACCTCAATACTTATAGAAATCTATCCGCTCAGGTGAATGCAACGTCCTAGTTACTAAGGGATTTTCAGACGACTAGTATTCTAACTGAAGTTCCAAGTTACTGATGAAAACACGACTTTCAGCTAGTAGTTTTCGGAGTCGAACTACGCTCTAGTCATTCCATTCCGGATATCTAAATAGTTTCACTGGCCCCTTGAATTCTAACGTGGTTCAAACCCTAGTTAGTAAAGTATCATTATCAAGATTTGATTTGATGATCTCTAATAAATTGAGCATTGGGTAGATTGTTATCAATAAATGATATATTCGTAATATCCCAATCCGTAGAAAACGTAAATTTTCCTACGTTTCATGACTCAGTTTAAGCCACTTCAGAGTAAGTAAAGCTGAGGACGAAAAGCTAATGTCCGGCGCTTTAACCGGATCACAAACCAATGGTGCACATGGGCTCCAGTATCCTGCGGGAACAAATGGCGTATGAACCAATCGTTGGTCACCGGCTACCATGGGGTGGCATCTCCTCACGATGCTCCACTGCCTTGTGGATCAGACCTTCAGGTCGAAGGCTCGGGGAGTGGCCCCCCTAAGATAACCACCTGCTTCGGTCTGGGCATCCGAGCAGTATCACAGCCCGCACACAAATATGATGGACTGTCGATAATTATGGAAAATACTTTTCTTGCTTCAACTATTAATCAAACGATTCACATTATTATTATTATTACTGTTGTTATTATTTACTACATCATTTATTCACTCTCTTTTATTCCTACTCTGTCTATCCTTATTTTTCGACTTATACAGCAGCTCGTCTATGGTGGAAATTCGGTTCTATCTAAACGTTCTCGAGTAGAGACGTTATCAGCTATGGCTCAGAATAGAAGCCAGTGGCGATCCTGTTGTAACCTTTTACTTTCGTCATAAAAAGTGGTTGCTTCTTCCTTAACTGAAAGATCTCTTCTGAGTGTACGTTTCTGTTTCCCCCATTATTATTATTACACCACCTTACACTAATCTGTTCGTTATCGTTTTCTTTACGCTCCTTACCTTTTTTCCTTCTCATTAAATTCTCATTGTTTTGTGTGGCGCATATATATTTGGTGCCCTCCTGTACCAATATTTATGTGTTTAAATAAATAAATAAGTAAAGCTGTACTTTGTAAATGTTTTACAAAGATTTTTCACACATATCCCAACCTACATACTAACTTCCAGCACAATGCTGGTGGGTTGAGTGATGGCCTAACTATTCGACGTTTAACCTAAATGTTCTTTTAAAAAAAAACGAATATACACTAGTATGCTTCCTCTTCATTTTAGGATCTTAAATATGTACACATCTGTCGTTTTCTTTGTTGAAAATGCAGTTAAAATCACTTTCTCCAATAATCGATATACAAAGACATAGATTAATAGACGAAACTTTCTAAGAAGTTCTTCACTGAGGCTTTAATTGTTAATGCACATATTTGTTTTTACTAATCTGATTGCGAATAAAAATAGGACATACAAATTGATTTTCGATTTTTATAGACACCTCTTAAAAACAACGAAGTTGATATCGCAGTGTTTTGCTTATCTTTAATGGGAACCAATTGTTCAGAATTCTTGTATGAAGCGAATCGCATTTTGAAATCTGGGTAAGCTGTTCAATGTGTTGTTTCGATTTTGAAATGAGACTGCTCTAAAAATTCTTTCATAGAATTATATGGTATACGTGCTCACGTAGCCAGTTTTTCATCGGTATAACCTAACTCATGAAATCTCAAAATCTGGAATGATAGGTTTTCAAAGAAAGTGGAATAAAGGCAATATCACACAGCTTCCACCCAATAAAGTACAGTTTTGAGCCCCACTTCACCCTATTTAGTTTTGTCAGCTATCAAGTAATATTAGAACCCTTAGTTCATTAGGTTTGGCTGAAATCTGAACACAAGAACACCTATTTGGCAACGTAATTATATCGCTACCAAATGCCATGGTATGGCCGAAAGTGGGGAGAGTCAACTCTCCCTCTCGAAATCCTTTCACATGGCTACATGCATACAACCATTGCCAAGGAATTCCTACTCACTGCCTTCTCGCGGTGAGGGTGTTGTTTACGAATTTGAGAGAATGAAAAGCAAATACCCGGTGCTTTAACCGGATTGGTGGGTATAGATTACCCAATTAGGGGAGTTGAAAAACACTGTTTCTAAACTAATAGTGTACATGGAGTCCAGGATCCTGAGGGAATAAATGGCGTGTGAACCAATCGTTGGTTACCAGTTACCATGGGACTGCATCTCCTGACGTTATTTCACTGCCTTGTGTATTATACATTTAGGTCGAAGACTCGGGGTGTCCCCTCTTAAGAAAACCACCTGCTGCGGTTTGGGCACCCTGGTAGTATCCTAGCCCTCACAAAAATCGAATAATTTGTGTGGCGCATATCTGTTTGGTGCCTTTTTGTACCGATATTTGTGTTTAAATAAATAATTATATTAATCTTATAACATTTGTTTCACAAATACATTTGAGTGCTCTGGGAGCTAGTTGGTTATGCTCTTCTTGATAGTCCTGATGTAATCAAGAACGTTACACCAAAAAAGTAAATTTTCTATTTGTGCAGGTCAGACTTATACCACTAGTCCATCATTATGTCAAGATTTGACACTTTTAGTCGAGTTGAACTTCACAATATCCAGTATCTCTCACTTTCGTTAAGTTTTATTTACTTTTCCGGAAAATTTTACACTAGTAACCGGATGTCGTATGACAGATAATTTGGCTTTCAAAGCAGTTTTTCTTTTGGCATATGATGCGTAGTTAAAGACATTTCATGATTGTTTGTTTTAAAGGTATCGGCAATATAACGAGACTGCATAAAAAATAGTTTTTTATTCGAAATCCTATTATTTTCGTTTAGAAGCTGTGATATAACACATAGGTATGGCAAAAATGGTTATCTCTATTTGTTTATTTGCTTCGTTTTGGGAAGTGTATGTTTCTTGCTGAAGGCGGTCAGGTGGAATCCCGTGATCAAAGTTACATTTTACTCACCATTCTGCTTCGGGATTTCGAAAAATAAGTGCATAATAAACAAAAAATTAAAATAGAGCTTTGTATACAGGAATATAGTTGAAAAATTTTCATTGTGGCTAATCTGCTTGGTTTATGAAATGATCACTAATTCTTATTCTTCACATTAGTTGAACTCCATGATTGATGAAATTTCTTCACTTGGAATTAACTTCACGTAATCCTTTGTTTACAAATTCTTTTCAGTGGTGTTCTGATAATCGTTGATGTAACTAGCAGATTTGATGGAAAATTCAATGATTTTTTGAAAAAGCTAAAGCGTTATGGGTTCGCTAAACAATTTTCAGAGATAACTAGCGATACGTACTTTGTTCGTGCTCTTCTTCGCAAAGTATCTTCTTGTTCCTCAGAGCTTGTGCACAGTTTACCGAAACTAAACTTGAAACCATGCTCCTATAAAAAAAGATGATTAACATTTGTTTTTTTGTACATTATTTCTTTAAATATACACGTATCAATTAGAGTTCAACTTTTCAACTTATCTGATTGTACTTGTTCGACCAATGTGAAAATGTTTACTTTCAGAGCTTCGGTATTGTTTCATTTTTAATTCATGGAAACTATTATCGCTCACGTTCGTGAAGGGAATCTTCATGAAGTAAAATTATGGTTAGATGATATAGAAAACGATGTAAATCAGGGCGACGAACATCGGTTCAGCCTGTTACATTGGGCTGCACGTGAAGGACAAAGAAATATAGTTGATTTACTGGTTATTCGTGGAGCTCGTATTAACGCTACAAATATGGGTGATGATACAGCTTTACATTTAGCCGCAGCTCATGGACATTTTGATGTTGTACACTATTTGTTAAATTCTCACCGACTAAATGTGGATGCTGCAAATGAACATGGTAATACAGCTTTACACTATGCTTGTTTTTGGAACCATTTAGAAATTGCTGAAGTGAGTCTTGTTGTTTAATTTATGAACCTATCTGTTTAAATTTTTGTAATGTTTCTGAGTTAGTTGAAAATAGAACGTATCTAGGCAAGAATTGATCTCAGCTTCACTCTGACTTCTGCTCTATTATCTGCTAAATTCGATTTTCATTTGGAACCTCATCACGTAAAGACACCCACCTTAACTCTTTGTAGATAGGATGTAACTATTATCCAGCATTTTAGTGTTAATTTTTGTCAACCTGTATCACTGTAGATGCAGGCGTTTTAAACAGTTTATTTCAAACATTAATTTTTTCATTTATACTTCAAAATTTACTACTTTGTGGTTGATTTTATATCTACCTAGTCGATGTTGAAAGTTATAGTACTGGATTAGTCTTACCCCAAATACTGTATCTTAAATGTGTAACCGATATATTTCTACATACATTTCGTCTGTGTTACTCCCAAACCTTAAATTAGCAATCTATCAAATGGAAAGTTATTCATTTATTCAGTTCCGTTAACTTAGTTTTAGCGATCCTGTTCATATAACGAATGTATCAGTCAGTCAGTCAGTCAGCTACAACGTAGGACCAGGCACATATATGCATCGGTCCAAGTTGCCATACCTCATTAACACAACAAGATGGACACCGGATTCATAAAAGTAGTTAATTCAGAGGGTGTAATATATAAAAGAAAGATTGCATATAAAGGATATAGTACAGGAAGAAAGAATTAGTTCGTAGAAAGAAAGAAGCGATTTTAATCTCTTAGTTTAAGGGAAGACAGAGAGTGTATACACCGACGCCATTGTGATCGATTCTGAGCCATGTCACCAAGAGTCTCCAACCATTGGTTACGATAGTTACGTGGACCCCAACCAAGTAGTCTGCATCTCCCAACATGACTCAGACTAGAAGTTAGTGACTTCAAGCACTGATGCCACGTTTTGGTTTGGCCACCCCTAACTTTCTTCCAACCATCCCGAACACCGGTTAGCATTGCACGTCGTGGTAATCGGTGTTCGGGCATACGTAACACGTGTCCTAACCATCTCAGTCGATGAAGATTCACAACCTCATCAACTGATTTACCATCATTCCCTAATACCCTGCGTCTAACCTCAGTATTACTTACCCGGTGATCCCAGCAGATGCCAGCAATATTTCTAAAGCATCTGTGGTCGAATACTAGTAGCTTAAGAGTGTCTTCTACTCTTAATGACCATGTTTCGCTGCCGTAAATTAAAGCAGAACGGACTGCTGCGCAGTATACTCGTCCTTTTATTGATGGACGGATATCTGGCCTTCGCCATAGGTGATGTAAGTTGGCAAAAGCCAAGCGAGCTTATCGAATCCGTGCTGAGATTTCGTCATACACCAACCCATTAGGGCTGATCAGACTTCCAAGATAAGTGAAGTTGTCAACGCGTTCGACTGCTTCACTCCCTATCCTTAGTTCAGGTGTTGCTGCAGACCAGTCCTGAAGCAACAACTTGCATTTAGAGGGAGAGAAGCGCATTCCAAACATTCTGGCATTGTTGCTTAGTGCTACCAAAAGACTCTGCATTTTATCAGCGTCTTCACCAAACAGGACTATATCATCTGCGTATTCTAAGTCGATAAGTGGACCTCCTGGGTGGAGATCAATACCCGAGAATTCAGTAGACGAAAATGTTATTTCCATCAATAGGTCTATGATGAAGTTACAAAAAATGTATCAAGTTATAAATATCATTTGTATAAGCATAATTTAAAGATTTTATGTTCATGACATGTATATGTAAGCAACAAACACAAGGTTGATATAATCTAGTGCATTCTCAACGAATGTTTTGCGATCCATATTTATTAATTTATGCTAAAATTTTATGTCAAATAAATTCTGGAAATTTTTATACTTGAGTATAAATTTTGTTTCATAAGATTATACTTGAATCATCATACACTAAATTGTTTTTCTTTCATCTCTGATATATATCCATTTAGAAATAAAAGGTGAACTATACCTTAATTTAAGAGACAAATCCTATTGCATGATCAGTAGTGTCTTATCATAAATGGTAGCATACTTATTTGTGTAACTACATTGCATTAACTTAAACGGTTGGTTTCCAACTATCTTATCACCGGCACATTTATTTAGGTGTGAACAGCAAGACATCATTGTTGGTTTTCTCACAATTGGTTCGTTTTCTAGAATAATATATAAACGTACATTTAGCTGCTAAATTGCTGTATAATCGAATATAGTTATATTTTTGAATTTCCACTAGTAATTGAATCCAGGATGTGCGTTTTGTACTTGTGTTTTAACGTCATGATACTCACACTGAGACTCAAATCCGCTATTTATAGCCTTGAACAGCAACGCACTATTCACAAAGGCACTGTGTTTATGTAACCGTTAACTCAAAATGTATGAATATATTTGTAAGAGTTTAGATTACGTTGCTAGTAGCAATTCACAAAATATACCAAACCCTGCATATATAGAACTTGTTAAGGGAACAGCTCATGATGTAGAAACTAATCCCATGAAGTCCTGAACATCAACAAGAAGATACTGCATCTTCTTACAAGTGTGATTAGTTCACGTTATGCCCTGCAATCATTTAGCATCACTACTTCTTGTGTGTTTCGGCTTATATTTTCAACCTAAATAATCACACTATTTAAAGTAGACAGACTTAGGTGATTCTCAATAACCATCAAATAACTATTCGCTCACCTGAAAAAGTGGGGAAACCAGAATCAGGGACTTTACAGTTCGAGAATTGAGTTGTCGTGATGGTTCTGCCAAGATGAGGCACCAGAAACCTATATCCCTGAATAATTAACAGCTCATATCACCAGAGATTGAAAGAGTTGGAAATGATCGCCCCTAACAACAGCTACCTTCATTTCCATTTAGATTCAGTGCTATTGGATTATAAATTGCTAATAAAAAGTGGTGTATGACTAGCTTCAACCAGTTAATAACATTTTAAGGTGGCCGGGGTCATCGATAAGGATCCCTTTCCTTTTTCACGCATTTCCTGAGGGAGAAGTAAGTACCTACTGGGAAGAAATCATTGACATGTATTACATTATTTTGCGATGTTAATAAACTATATTATTGATCTCTGAATAAATATACATCTGTGTTACTATCTGCACATCAAACGATTACAGGTTAAACTGTATGAAAGGAGTAATTCTCCAGCTAACCATTTACTGTTATTAAAAAATTTATAAACAGTCATTTTATCTGTCCATCTTAGTTCTCAAATAAGCAAGCTGAATTTGATGGTAACTTTGAAATATTTCACATGTGTAAGCTGATTACCATTTATTTCTTAGTCACTTCAGTTCCCTGCAATCATTTAGCTTCACCGCTTCTTGTGTGTTTCGGCTTATATTTTCAACCCAAATAATCACACTACTTAAAGTAGACAGACTTAGTTAGGTTATCCCGATTCGGAGTCGCATCACGAGAAATTGTCTTTGAGATTTCCGGTGAAGTGTGAATTTTGAGTTTAATTCACTGACAACAGGATTGTTTATTTGGTTTTGAGTTAGAATTCCCTCGTATTTTTTAGTGATGCTTAGTAATCCGGTTGCCCAAGAGCATCTCTAGTAGAGGTCTTCCCTTTGATCTTAGGTTTATTGATTCCTCAAAATTTTCTAAAAGTATTCGACTAGTTAATATCTTACCTAATCATATCTTCGATGCCTAACGTTGTACATGGCGTGTGACTGGCCAGTTGCTCAAGATAAGAACAGAATCCTAAGGTGTCGTTCAATGGACTGCAGTTTGGTCACTTTAATCTCTAAGCCACAAAATTTTGTGGCTTGAATCGGAAAACGAGAACTGCTACTTAGTAAACAAATACCACAGTATTAAAAGGTTAAAAATTGGATTAAAATTAGTGAAATTAGATAGTAACAAAAAATATATTGTGACGCTGTATCCAATTTCTAGTCATTCAGCTATAGTTAACCCATAACCTGAAAGTTTGAATTTACGAGGAACTGTTTTATCGAAACTTAATTACGCACACCTGTTACCCCCGATGGAGGAGCATAGACCACCCATCAGGATTTTTTAACCAGTTCTGTCCTGGACTCTCCTCCATACTTATTTCCAAGTACTATCCATTCTTTTGATATCTGCCTCGAATCCCCGACTCAATGTGTTCTTGGGCCTTCGTTTCCTTTTCCATTCACTACTTCTAGTTAGGACATGACTCGTGATGCAGTCTGACGATTTCCTCAATATATGTCCTATTCAATTCCAGTGTCTTTTCCTAATTTCCTCTTCAGTTGGAAGTTGGTTTGTTCTCTCTCACAGTAGGTTGTTGCTGGTGGTTTCCGACCAACGGATTGTGTAGACGATTGTTTATAGATACGTGTAATTTTTTATGATGGTTGTAGTGGTTCTCGAAGTTTCGGCTCCGTACATGAGAACTGTCTTGACATTTGTATTGAATATTCCGACGTTGATGTTGACTGACAGTTGTTTTGAGTTTGATATGTTGCCCTCGCTTTTCCGACCCTTACGTTTTCATCTGTATCAGATCCTCCTTATTTATCCATGATGCTGCCCAGGTACATGAATTCTTCACCTCTTCCAGTGCCTCTGCATCAAGTGTGATTGAATTTGTATTGACTGTGTTGTATTTGAGTATCTTGCTTTTCCCTTATGTATGTTGTAGTTTACTGCTGCAAATACTGGTGTTACAGTGGTCATCTATGAAGTCTAAATCATCTAGTTGCATCCAAGCTATCCACTGTATTATGTGTTTCACTTGAGATGCGAAGATTTTCATAATCCAGTCAACCACCAGAAGGAAGAAGAAAGACGAGAGCAGACAGTCTTGTCTGTGACATATATTGATTGTTGCGCTAGTTTACAGAAAGGTCATCGGCTTCAGGGTTTTGGAAAAATATCGACGTTCACTATGAAGCATCACGACTATCCTAAATGAATATCATTTAACTCCCAGGACAAAGTTCAAAGGGTTTGAAATTACTA